AAAAAGTAGTCTTAAAAACGTAGCTTTATTTATATAATTGTTTAAAAATTACTTAACACTTACAAACAAACATAATAGTCAGCATATCTGAAATAATCAGATTATTGCGCGCTAGTGTACCTACGTAGCTCTTGCGTCCGCCAGAAGGTTAATCATTGATAATCATGAATAATTTGTATTACTGCATCTGTATACATTTACATAATTAATTTAAACTAATTTGGTAACATAATTAATGTGGGAACCAAAAGCACATCAGAATTTTTAAAAGATTTAAGCTAATGAGGATGCGGATGGATTTGCCATATTTGATCTTCTGTTAAAACTCTCAAATGGATTGCCCCGACCAAAAAAATAAAAGAAGCTTTAATTCGAAAATAAAGGTTTTAAAATGCATTCGATAGTTTGTCTTTATCAAAAACTGGAACTAATTTACTAAACCTGTGCCCTTGTATATTTACAAAATTGATTATTATTATTACATTAATAAAATATACAAACAATATACTTTAATTTCCGGTCAATATATTTTTGATAAAATTTATAATATATACAGGGTCAAACCTTAGCTTCGGGGGAGACATAATTTGCATTATATTTCACTTTCAAATTGATTCACCCTTTCTAGCAGTGGTCACAACCCTTGAAATTTTAAATGTCAAGATATGGCAACCCTTCTTAAAATACCCCATAGAGACCCTGTTCAAACCGATAGATATTTGTATCGGAATGTAAGGTGTTTCTATAGGGTGTATCAGTTTGTATAGGATCCGTAGTTGGGATTTATGGTTGTTCTATAGGGATATCCACCCTTGATTTATTTGCTATTGGTTTCAATGGGGAAAATACACATAAATGTAGAAATTAGTTTTTCTCCCCATAGGTTTTAATAAAATTTTGTCAAATGTTTTATGGTTGTTCTATAGGGATATCCCTATATATCCTTCATTGAGTTATTTGCTATCGGTCTCAATAGGGAAAATGTAAAAGTTATGGTGTGCCTATAGGTAATTTCCTATAAATTTTCTATCGAGCCGTACCCGAAAAAAACCATGGACAAAATTTGATACACATATTGAATCCGGTAGCGCCCGATAGATTATTTTATATAGGTCTCTATGGGGTATTTTAAGCAGAAAAGTGATACCTAATTTGAAAGGTCTTGCTCCATAATTTTTTATAATTTTCTTTTATAATATGTGGTATCATCCGTTTCCGTAATATTACAAGTAAAGTTTCTTATTCAAATAAAGAAGCGTTGAAAATGAACATTAAATTCGTATGAAATTTTAATATCAACAGGTGTAATTTAAAAAAAAACCCTTAGTTCTATTTGGTTCATATAACGTAAAAAACCAATTCCAATTAATTGCACCAATTGTCCGTGCAATTCTAGATTAAAATCTAATCACTGTTAAACAGAAAATCGCAGTGAAAGCAAAAAAATAATGGATTCGCAGATTAAAAATATGATGACCTCACTTTCCGAGCCAATTAAATTATTATCGGATTTCTATAAGCACTTGTCTTCTATGATATTCATTTTCAGCTTAAGTATAGCTTAATTAAAAGTTTTTTATTAAATTTTTTACCATTTAAACCATAGTAAAATTTGGTATTTTATTTTAATAAAAGACGTTTTTATGAACCGGCTTTCTTGTCTGTCTATCGGTGTGTTTGGTGAAAATTCTGCAATTGATTTTAAATTAACTTTACTTAAATCTTATACATAGCTCAGAACTGATGATAATGCACGATAAAGTGACGTAATTGAATTCAATATGATTAGTTTTTATTTTTAATTAAATTAAATTTACATTTAAAAAAAAAAAATTTTAATTTTTTTAAAAATGTTGTGAAAAATATCGGCAATTACATAAACGCGATTGCAAGAATAACATATTGAGATTCACAACTAACTAGAATTTTTAACTTAAGATTATGTTTAGTAGTTTTGGCTTGCACTAAGATGTAAATGCGAAAGCCTAGTAAAGAAAGTTTAGAAAATATTGATCACCTTCGCTACATTTTACTCAAGCAAAAAAGGTTCTCGTCTAATCTGCAAAACACTAATCCATCCAACGCCAACATCAATTGTCAAATTTTTTATGGTTGTTCTATTTGAAATCATAAAATTTATTATAAAACCTCGCAGGTTACATTAACAACAGCAATGGTTATTTTTGTTACATCAATGGCGCCAAAAAATAAATTTAGTATTGGTCCTTTATCACTAGAAAATGGTTTTTCAAATAAAAATACTTTAATAAAAGGATATTCTGTATACGAGTGTTACTTTTAAAAACATTGCAACCCCCATATTCCCGAAACCCTAAAGAGGTCTATTTTACCTAGGGGTCTCCACTACAATTTTCCATTCATAGTTAAGTTATCATAGCCCTATTCTTTCGTGGGACAGGATAATAATAAATATATATTTAATAGATGATGTATGCTTGTTGAAAATTATTTATACAAATTTAACTCCTTTACTGGCATGATCGTGAATACTCTGCAAAAGTTTCACTTTTATAGCGTCTTGCATGACAACACGTTGATTTTTTTTATTCTGAACCAAGGTAGGTTGTCAAATATTGCCATGTTCCCGGTATTGCTACCATCTCCAACTCTGTAAGTTTCTCATAAATGTAACTGATAGCCCTGATAGTACCTCATGTTACATACTTCCTGTGTGGAAGTATGTGCCTTATGTTGATCAAAACGAGAAATTATAATCGTGCATAGGTGAGATAAAGTGATTGCAACCGCCATAACCTACAACAATTAATTTTGTGCATGGTTTAAGTAAAACAAAATCTACTAAAAATTTTCAGCAGCGTGACCAGTGGTCACTGACCACGATACAAGGTTAACATACCTACTTTCTTATACCAAATTAGATTTTATTCGATTCAATCTCAGTCATAAACTTTCGGCTTCCAAAAAGTGTAATTTTCCAAATATTGCCATGTTAACTGCGTCCAAATATGGTCATGGCAATATTTAAAGCAATATGGGGTAAATGCAATTAAAGGAATATTACCTAAATATGCTTTTTAAAGCAGAATTTAGACTAAAAGAGAACAGTGGTCTCAACAAAACCTTAGATTTCTATACGAACCATATTAAATGAAACCAGTATTAGTAAGGATTCAAAACGCTTGGAAATTCCACGGACATATTCGCAAAAAAATGCACCAAACGTCTTGGAAACGACTGAAAAATCTGAAGTAGCGAGAAGGAAATGGTTAAAACTATTTGGCTGGATGCAGGGCTCATCAAATGAACTCTGCTAAAATAAATCGCTTCATTGTGAATGATTATTTTACAAAATAAAAAGACCCTATGAGTTATGGATTTCATATTTAAAGTAGTATTCTATTTATTTATTAATATTACAAGCATAATTGATATTTAAATTAAAGGAAAACGCTTACGGTTTATTCGAATTTGAAGTCATTAAAAAATTCGTTGGTTCATTGGAACCAGACGCTCCCATATCGGTACAGCTGCTGATAGTGCTGGAAGACGCCGACGCATTAGAACCTTGTATTTTTTCTGCAATTTCTTCTAGGTATCCTTCTGCTACCGTCGAGGACTTCCATCCTCCGTGACGCTTCAAAGTATTCATGTTAGCCCCTGCATTGGCCAAAAGAGTCACCGAAGACCTTCTCAGGCATTGACCGGTGTAGAGCGCTGGTTCCGCCAATTTCAAAAATATTGCAATTCTTGAAGGTATCTTCGTGTATTTATTTCCACATACTGGCTGGTACACCTCCCATTTTTGTAAAAAACAAAAAAGCGGCTAGAACTAGTATTCTTTGGTATGAAAGATATGTATTTTTTACACAAATTGATCGGGTTGACTGGAAATCCTTCTATGGTGAAACTTTTCAATTTCTGGGTTTAGTGTCTGGCAAAACTACGTGAAAATATTTCCCTTTGTCTTAAATATTTTCTATTTTTAAATTGACAAATTCATCGCATGTACAAGTAACGCTATTCCCCATTATCATCATCAACTCGTTGGGAGCTTCGTTCAAAAACTCTATTTTAAGTCGTTTTAATGTCTTTGACTTCTTTGGTTTGTATCCCTGTGAATTGCTTTTCAAAAAGCTCGTTAGTTTGCCATATTTTAAAATGTCGATTTTTTATAAAGGTATTTGGTCCATAGGGACGATGGGGCTAATTTTTTTTGAAAATGTAAAAAATAAGCCAATAGGACATTTTTATCGATACATTTTATCTTTAGTGAAGTCATCCAAGACTCAAACATTTTGAACTCCTTGTCGTAAGCATCTAGGGACTTTTCTGGCAAAATTGCTGGATCTTCCGCTTCCATAAGGATATCTTCAGGAACGTAATTTTCATCGGGTTCCTCCATTTTCTATACGTTTTTCCTTCAAAAAAGCTTTCCTTTTCTGCAGGAAAAACTCACAAGTGTCAAAATTTATTTAAACATTTGCCCGTGGCAACCAAACAAACAACCTATTTTGACCAAAATGTAAAAAAGTCACTGTCAAGTCATTCTGACATTTATAGGGTACTGAGAGGCAAGTAGCTTTGATTTGATCACAAAGCTTATTAATAATTATAAAAATAATAATAATAATTTATAATTATTATTATCTCATAAAAAACGAATTCTTTCACTTGTTGGATAAAACATTGTATGCCACTCATGTGTTATGTTTCCTTAAGTCACCTGACGGCCTCGTGGTAAAAATCTTTCTCGTGTGGCTTATTTTCAACATAACATACTAGTACCATAAATAACTATTATTTTAAAAATTCATTTAATTATCTATCTATTGCAGTAGATAAAGTATGGTATTGCACTCGAGATAATGCGCTTTATTTACTCGTATGATTTAAGTTTCTCGTCTGGTGACAAACCATCCTCGTGAATAATATATATTAATTATAATATTTAGATAAAACAATAATAATCTTATGTCATAGTTAGGATATTTTAACTATGATATAAGAAAATTGTGTAGCAGGGGTCTGGCAAAAAATATTTTGCAATACAATCAACAACTTTGTTTTAAGTATTCTTCTATAATTATTTAAACAAACAGTTTAAGGAGTAAAGTATACAAAATTAAATAAATCATAACTAAAAAGTAATCAACCTTGTAACTTCAAATACAACAACACCTAATATTGCAAATATTCGAAGCTATTTTATATTTTTCCAAATAAATATTTAGTGTTTAAGTGAATTTTGTTATGGACACAGTGGAAGAAGAAAAAAGGTAAGTTTTTAACAATTTTGTTATTTTATTTAAAAAAAATCTGTTTCTAATAAGTATTTATAACTATAAAATATTGAATTGCACTTAAAAATAACGATCCGATTTATTAGAAATTCGGAGTTCTTTATTTAATAGTAAGCAGAACCGATTATTTTAAAAACGTATCCGTTTCTTACATTAAAATGTCCATTAAAATTCTAATTATAATCAAGTCTCAGGAGCGCAGTCCTATTAAAACTTTTTATAATCTTAACTTGTTGCCCTGTGTCTCACTTAAAACAAGTAAGAAAAATTCCAAATGAAAAATGTGTCTGTTTTCGCGAAAAGATAAAATAGTTTTGTATATATTAAAACTTTCTAAGTACAAATTATAATGGCTTGGTCTTAGTTTTAATTAATTTTGAAGCTTGAGCTTAGATTTTAAATTATTTATTCGAGTTTTAAGAAATTTTTTTGTAAATAAAAAAATATTTTTTTAAACTTCCACCTTTAAAACGTCCAAACATGTTTCCATGACACTAATTAACCTTTTGCTTTTTAGTCAAAAGATGAAGTTAGCAACAGGTTTTTAGTCCCTGGCTGAACTTTAGTTTAGTTGTCAAATGTCATACAATCATTAAAACAACGTGCCCTTCTTGTAAAATTATACTTAATGTAAAAATTATTTTATTATTTCAATACAAAACTATGAAATAGTTTTTCAACGCCAATATTTGAAAAGTTTATATGAACATTGTACTGACCTTTTTATTTCGCTGGCAGTAAACTGGATTTAACTTAATATCGGGTGAAGACTCCACTGCCAATAAAACATTTTTTTTACTTTCACTGTGAAAAACTTCTTCTATATCGAATTAAACGGGTTATTTTCAAGGAATACATTTCGATTTGCACATACAAATTTGTCATTTGACATAATACCGGTTCGTTTAAAACAAGTTTTAGGAACAATTAATAAATTAACGATTTTGTGACTTTGGTTCGTGATCGTCTTACTCAAGTTTGGATCCCTACGTTGTGTTTACTTACTTGTTTTAATAAATACATTGCTTTAGGAATCATACTGGGGAGAATTAGGTATACAAAACATAAAATACAGTGACTTTGACAAACGCTTTACAACAAGCAAGGAGTGGCTCTTAGAGAGATACGACCAGGGAAAAAGAGCTTGGGAAAAAACCCTGTTTGACTATAAGGTAACAAAGGTTTACATGATTAGGCAATAAAATAATGAAAATCGAAATTTTTACATTGAATAGTAAACTTAAAAGCCGTTTATTAAACTTTACGACATAATTTGGTCTATTAAAATTAAAAACTAACCTTAGAAAATACACAAACACAGGTCTGTGTATAAGTACACAAACACAGGTCTGTGTATAAATAAATTGAACTTAACAATAAATTCTGCCTATTTTCTTGCTTCCCTTTACTGGCTACGTGTACCTGCACCATCGTTGCTTGTATCCAAAGTTCGAAAAACTTGTAATTTCCTTACCTAAGTGTGCCTTTAACACCACAATTTAGAAAATATAAATTTGTAAATCGTATTAAAGTACTGAACCATTATAATACAGATTTTCAAGTTGGTTACTCTATTGCCTTATATATGTCTCTCTATAAAAATATTTAATTTAAATCATTTTTAGATAATAGGTATTTGTCGCAACTCGTTTATAACAATAAATGGTTTTTCTTTATCGGAACGTCAACAGGTCTGTCACAGACCTTCTGTGGGGACAGCAGTTGTATTGATAATACTTTATATTTTATTCAAAATAATAAAAAAAAATATATTAAATCAATTAAATCAACTATTTATTTGAAAAATATCGATATGGCTTTACTTAGCAGATTGTTTGTTTTGTTGATTTTATGTTACGATAAAACTAAAACAAACAAACCAAACCAACCAACCCAACCCAACCCAACACTTTTTAACAAAGAGACAACTCAGAACGCGGCTTGGCATTGATAGAGCAGTATAAACGATGCTTAACGAAAAAAGAACAGCTTCAATACCTATTTGTTGCAAATAGTGACAGAACATAGAAAACGATATCCTAATTGCAATAAAAGTAATTTTATACGACTGTAATATTTTAAAGTTAAAAAATTTTCATAACTAGTTCTTAAATATTATTTTTTGTTATATAGAATTATTTGTTCAATAAAATTTCTTAGTATTTATCAGAAAATAAAATAAATTTGTTATAAAAGCGACATAAAAATCATATAATTAATATTTTTAATCTTTATATTTATGTATTTGTGCTTTTTGTGAGTTACGTATTGAATTAATTAGCAAAAAAAAGTTTACAGTGTCAGGTTAACAGAATTAAAGTGATTTAACATAAAAAATAATATAAATATGGCATATAATATTTTTTTGCACTTTTATTGAAAAATATTTGAAATTTTTTATTAGTGTTATTTTTGATCGCTGATATCTTTGAAACGGTTGACCTTCAGATGTTTTTTGTAGAGCGTGAAATTTCCTATCCTCTAGCTTGGGTGTTGCGCAAACAAACCATTCCAAAGTTATAAGAATTCAAAATTAAAAAATGTTATTGAAATGGAAAAACAACAAATGAATTGAGGCAAACCTTAATATTAATCAAATAGGCAAGGAATATTTAAGATGAATAAGGTTATTTTGTAAAAACCTAAATTTTGTCATACTTTTAAACCAAACGACGAAAAAAAACGATTGGACTTTTGTTTGTGGATTGTGAAAAGTGTCAAACAAAAACAAATTTTGAAAATATTTTTTTTGATTAAGCGACATTCGCCAATAACTCGCAAAATTTTAGATACTTTTTAGATAAACATCTAAATTTTAGAATACAATGTAGAAGCTAGTATTAAAAAAACTTAAATTTTCATACGATAGTATAATTGGACCAAATTTTTTGGATGGAAATTTAAAACAATTTGTGTATTTGGAAAATATTTAAAAAATTACCTTAATAAAAAGGATTTGGCTAAGACATTACATTTGGAAAAAAATAGATTGGTAGATTTAGGCCACAGCCATACTCACAAAAAAGTTCATATTTAACAATTATAGATTTTTACTTTTGGGGCAAACTAAAACGACAAGTATATAAAGACAACTTTAACAATAATTTGGAAAAATTAAAAAACAAAATTAACGATGTGATCAGAGCCATACATTTCGAAGAAATTACAGAAGTGTAGAATAATGCAGTAATTTAGGTGGGGCACTATTTAAATAGGCTATTATTAATCATCTTAAAGAATAAAAGGCTGTAGAACTGTAATTTGGTAAAATTTTATTTTAGGACAAACAGGCCAAGACTAAAAAATAATCAATACCATACAAAATTTAAAAAAAATTGTAAATACCCAAAGGATATAACCCATGCTCTTTTTAAGGACATGTAATTTTATTTATCTTTGAGTTATATAACTAAATACGTTATTGCACTCATAAAAAGAACAGATTCGATTTAGGTACTCTTTAAAAATGAATTGGTCAAAAATTACTAATTTAATAGTTATTAGTGGCTGCTTTTTCACTTGTACCATGGTTAACCATGGAATACCATGGTATCCCAAAATTTAACAGATAATTCTTATGTTAAATTGTCCCCTGAATCCGAAAATACCGTCAAAAATTATGAAAGTGGAGCAGTTTTTGAGATATAGTCAATTCCACATTAAATGGAAAATTGAATATATCTCAAAAACTGTTCTACTTTTTTAACTTTTGACATTTTCGGATTCAGGGGACAATTTTACATAAGAATTGGATGTTAAATTTTGGGATTCCATGGTTAACCATGGTACAAGTGAAAAAGCAGCCACTAATAACTATTAAATTAGTCATTTTTGACTAATTCATGTTTAGAGAGTAAATATGTTTTAACAGACCTAGAAATTATAAACAAAATGTAGGACCTAAACTTTAATTAAAAGGGCAAAAAATATATTAAAGAAAAATATGTCTAATTACGGCAACCATTAATATAGTATTTAGTGCCTTCATAACAAATTAAAATGTTTAATGTAATTTTATTTTGTTTTTTATTTTAGCCCTCCTCCGTCTCCAAAACTGCCGGATTACCAACATTTTTTACCACCTCCTCAAATAACATTTTCAAATGAAATGCAATCAAAATACGATTCAGACCATGACAGCGTCGTCTCCTCTAGAAGACCATCTGCCATAATAGCAGCTTTAAGAAGACCATCACAGGCTATAGCCTTATCAGCTGCTCAAGCTGTAATGAATCAAAGAAGATATTTTCTTGGGTAAGTTGCTTAACCACAGAGAAAAAGTTTTCCAATGTTTTCCAAAACCTTTAAAATTATTGGCGCTATATATTGTAAGCGTACACACCCCCCCCCAGCAAAGAATCTGTAAAAAGTTACACCCCAAGTGATAAATGAAATATAACACCACGGCAAATGTTATTTTAAATTACGACAAATAAATAAAATAAATACTTACGGTAATAAAGCTCATTAATTTAGTAACCCAAGGTACTTGTGAGGTGTTGTATTCATGGGGAAAGTATTTAAAAAGGGAAATAAAAATACAGTAAATAAAAGGCAATAAGTTACGTTTGAACTCAGGTCAAAACCCGGAAGGCTCCCGTTTATTTTTTTATTAAGTATCGCTCATAAAACCTTCCAAAATGAGGGATTATGGGAGTGAGTTTCACGTATAAAATATTTACAATTTATAACAAACAATAATGATATTTATTTGGATAGAGTAACAAAAATAACCGCAACCCAAACGACATTCAATTTAGTGAACTCTAAAAGAAAAGGACCTCCTACAACCGTTAAAACCACACAATATCTCCTTACTGCGACTACAACCCAAATATAAATAAATATATAAATAACATTAGATAAATAATACATCATACTAGAGCTTGGCTCTCGTTTTTCATTTTTAATTTTTATCTTCGCTTTTTGCTGATTTGTTTGTTTATTTTCATTTTTCATTTTTATCTTCGCTTTTTGCTGATTTGTTTGTTTGTTTGGAGAAAGTAGATTGAGTCTTAGTCTCTAATTTTGTATTTTAAATTTAACTTTATTCATCAAGCATTCCATTTGCAATAGGCCTCCATCATCCAAATAAAGTTTTTGTATTTATTTACTGTTGAATTTAAGTTTACTGTTACACGAAATTTTCATGTAATATTTATTAGAGTTCAGGCTCAATAAACTGTTGGAAAAGGAGTAAATAATTATTAGGCTCGACTCGGGCTTCAGCTGAGGGTTCGGAATTGTCTATTTTGCCTCATTAGTAAGCAAACCTTAATAAATTAATAATTACCATAAAATACTAGGTAATCAAAATGACACAAATAACAAAAACAATGTAGGCGTCGCGCAGTCAGCTGAAATCAGACCTTTACACACCTCTTAGAATTTACAGGATGGTAATTCAAAATGGGCTTGTTGTGTCATGGACTCCACGGGCAGTGGATAAATTAAATGTCGTTATCACACAATTACTGTCGCTACCCACTCCAAATGTAATACCAAATATTTAAATATGACTGGTAAAATTCACTTAAATAATTACGGGACATAAATGTGAATCCGCGAGTACAATTTTATAAATCCCGTATTCAAGAAAATCGATAATTAATACACTTAATTTACACAGCGTTTATAGAAAATCCCCTTTTGAAATATTTATTAAAATTAATTAAATAATCTTACTGCCCTGACATTTAGCTTAATTAAATCGAATACGGTCCTGCCTATTTTAATTGGATGAAATACACGTAAAATTCCTGCTCTTTTAATTTGATAATTACTCGTTAAAAATCCCTGCCTTTTATTAGATAAAATACACTTACCAATTGTTTATAACTTAGAATATAAATTATAATACGAAATACCAAATTTTAAACGTAAATTTTACAGCGTGGTTTGTTTTAAACGGCAGCCATTACAGCGTAATAGATCGAACGATGACGCCAAGTCAATTGATCAAATATTTATCTTTACACAAGGTTTTTGTGTAAACTAATTATACCAAAATGCTCGGGAATATTTATACTACAATAATTTAGTTATTTAAAATGTACAAACCTACAAATTCCAACACTTTTCTGCACACACAATTTTTAAAACCCTGGTCGCTGCTCGGCTCTGCTCCAATGCTCGAATCAATGTTCTCCCCTATCTTCCCTGCCCATCTGACTACTTGCGTCTCGCATTCTTCCCCCTACCTTTTCCCACTTAATCAGGAGAGTCTTTCTACCCAATGGCACGGTAGTTTTTATATGTCACTTGTACAGTCCGTTCAGGCTAAGTTGAGCGCTTTGGGGGGGGATCATGTGACCGTTGATTAAATTAAATATCGAATCCTCGCAAGATTTCGGTAACAAGAAGATGATTTATCAGTGCCGGGGCTTGCAGTTTGTTGGTACAGAGCGGCTACCGAAATACATGTATTTAATTGTGCTTAAACATAGAGATGATGGACGGGTGACATTCCTTAGACCGCTCAACTTAGCCTGAACGGACAGTATTTCCGTTGCGCTAAATTTAAATGTTAGTTTTATTTACATGGCTTTTTGAATGCATTTATTTTAAACAATTAGGATCGTAATAACCCACGGATTGTTTATTAGGGGGGGTATTTGCAGATCTCCTCAATATATATGGATATTTAGAACTAGAAGTTTTTTACTTAGTTACAAAACTACTAAACATATTTTTTTTCTTTATTTGTTTAAACAAAAACCATTTTTGACTTTTGAACATAAATTGTAGAAAATTTTATAAAAATATTTATCGATAATAATAAATTACGGTGTTACTTGGCTAAAGAATTGGTCTGAAATATATGTTGCTAATAAAATTTAATGTAAGGAGAACGTTTGGGTTTTACAAAAACACAGAGCGTACAAGTAAAAAGCATTTAAAGAAGGTCGAGAAGCGGTATTGCCGCCTCGTTCAGGTTGCCCATCAACAGGTTCAACTGAATAATATAAAGGGAGAGAATAAGTACTTAAAAATCATCCCTAGATATACTTAAGAAAACTAAAAATATCTCGCAAATAAGTTCGCGCAATTTTGTTTTATGTTTAGGATATCAGGCCCTTAGCGGTAGCAACGGTTTCTCCCAAAATTGCTGATTTTTTTTTCAGGTCGATAAAGACATGTTGAAACGAGCCAATTTGGACCCTACATTAATAAAACTGCATAATTATGGTCCCCATGCTATTTTTTTCTTTTCAGAAAAACTAATAAATAATAGTTTATGCCTTACTGGTCAATATTGTTAAATACGATGACTGCTAATTGGAAAACCATTAAATGTTTAATTATGATGGTTAGAGCTTTCGGACCGAGTGTTTTCTGGACAATGAATTGGACAAAGAGGAGCTCTGGACTGGTCGGCCATATCTCCAGATTTGACTCCGCTAGACTTTTTTATGTGGGGTCATTTAAAAAATAAAATTAACTTAACATAATATGTAGTCGTGGTCTCTATAAGAGTTGCGACAACGTATTGTGTCGTCAAATAACATCTTAAGTATTTTAAAATTTTGGAAAGTGTTTTAAACAAAATTGTATTTTTGTATAGAAGATGGTCTACTATTCTCAATCTTTTTCTTAGCTGAACTTTTTGTTTGAATAGAAAATGAGTTGTGGTATTTTTTTACACGCCCTTTTGCGTTTAAACTTATTAAAAAATTTGTAAACCTCATTTTGCTTAGTTATGGCTGTATACATTTACACTCCTCAAAATATATAACGCTTTTTAAAATGTATTCAATTAATGCACACATGTAATCAGAAAACATTATAACGAACAAAAATACAACGTTACCTGCACAAGATTTGCGCAGCGTCACGACGCGTCGTGGCTTGCTACGAATCAGCCGACTAAAAGTTTCTTGAGGAAAATTGTTCCATTATTTAATTAGAATCTGTGCCAACTCCTTGGTTGTAACTAAGGGATTTGGACGTTCCAAAGACGTCTTCCTAAGTGATTCCAAACATGTTCATTTGGATTCATGTCTGGATCGCACGCAGGGCAATCCATAATATGAATATTTTGATCACCAAAATATTTAGTAACCATTCCGGCAGTAATAAAGATAAAATTTTTACCAATAACATTTGCCTTTGTGATCACTTTAGGCTCTAGAATCTCGGTAATGTACCTTTGAGCTGTTAGACTTCGATTAATGATAATAAGGTCTGTGCAAGGGTTTATGTACACTACCTCTAAAAGGAATGGATTATTGCACTGTATCTGGCAAAACCTTATCCAGGTCTTTACCATACCGGAGTCAAATGACAAAGTTTCCAGTTTACGTGTTCTTTGGCATAATGTTACAGCTCTGCTAACTTCAATCGACGTTAATTGCTAAAACATTGCTTACTTAATAGTACGCAAGCTGACTGAATATTATTTAACAATAAAATTGGTTACAGCTTTTTAAACAATAATTCTTTAATACATTTTTAATTTAATTTTATTGCTTCGACATCCGTGAAAATAAGTTAAAAATTTACTTTTATTTTTTGAGGAGTGTATAATATATATTAAGAATTTCCAATCAGGCCTATTTTGTTATTTTTAAATGATTATTTTAAGATTAAATATAAGAAACTGCGTTTTCTTCACTGCTTTAGCAAATAATACAATTATGTTTTATTAAATTTAACAGTCTAGACGTATTTACTTGGGTAAGATTTGTTTACTGTCTAAACTAATATATTAATATTTATTAAATTATTAAAAATATTACATGATAAGGTATAAATAATTTAAGTTAAATAAAAACTTTAATTATAAAATAAGGCTTTCGAGTAAAACCTAGTAGGTTAAAATATTAGTTAATAAAAAACTTTAAAAAGTTCAAAACATTATTTTATAAAAGTTTTAACTAAATAATTTATTAAAAAAAAAAGAAATAAAAGTCGTAGGTTTAAAACCGAAGACAAACGCCTTAAATAATTATTAAAATTGTATTTATTCTAATTACCTAACGCATTTAAAGGCTGTTCCAGAATCAAAGCGAGCGTTCTATCTTGGGAAAAGAGGATTTTGATCAAAAGGATGAAAAATTAAAACGATATAACAGAAAGCTGGGAGAGTAAGTTAATCAGTTTAAAATAAGAAAAATGATACCCTAACTAAACTTGAAAAGATAAATTATACAAACTTTTGTATTTTTTTAAATATTTTAGCGAATCATTGACAATTATTATATCAGCTTTATATGCAAAACTGTTAGTAGTATTGGGTATGGCATTTCCAATAACAGAAATAATATCACAGGATGTAAAACCATTTTTTTATCAAGGATTTTATTTGTATCTTTATCTAGGAAGTATTGCATTTGTGTCGTATATGTATGCTACTTATGTTAAGGAAAATACAGTACAGCAAATAATAAATACGTACAGTAAGTAATTTTACTTTGGCAAATGTTTGCAATATTATCATTTTTATTGTTTTAGAAAAGGGCAATAAACCAGGGTTTATAGAAAAACATAAATCACATCCAGTTAGATATGGAAGTTTTTATCTCAGATTGGGTGCTATTGGTAAGAAATTAGGTTATTTATAAATATTTGCAGACCTAGTTTTAATTTGAATTTAAGAAGGTTTAATTTATTGGGTTTTTGAAAAATGTCTTTTGAATAATGCTGCGGTCAAAATGTTTTTAATGATTTGGTGTTGGTAGATGAAGTAGTTGTAGTGATGTTACATTGGACTGTCGTCAAAAAAAAACGAGAAATCAAGAAAACCAAGATGACGACAGTCCAGTGTAACATCACTAGGTTTTTAATATTATTTCATATATTCTACATTTTACTATGCTCCTATAAGCTATACTAAGATTTAAGAAAAGGCTCTAGTTTTGTATTAAAGCTACGCAAGGAATGGGAAGATTAAAAAAAAACTTTTACCAACACATATTTTGAAGACGCTTATAAATACATCACTGTTGAAGATTTCGGAGAGTGAACGTTCATTGACGAACTTGGAAACTTCTGGAAAATGCGTCGGAACATAAGCCACTTCCTATATTTTTTCTCAGTTTTAAATGAAATTCAATTACCGGGTTAACATTGTAACTCATTGTTCATACACTTATACAACCGCTTTTTTGTTTCGCACCAAAGTGGTATTCTGGATAGGCATATTCATAAGAGATATCTATCAGCAATTGTTCGGTTACCTTAAACATTTTTTTGCATTATAACTGAAGAATTGGTCATCTTTCGCTTTAAGAAAATGGATCCTCGGTCCAGAAAACTTATTATTTAATGGCTATTATTTCTTCGTCCCTTGGACTCAGAATTTAACGGCGATCGGCTTCAACTGAGATTAATCTGAAAAATTGCAATGATCGATGAAAAAACAATAGGAACAAACCCAAAACAAAATATCAAAATTACATATTAATAGAGATATAGTTTGTCAAAGTTAAGGTAAAAACCCTTTTTTATAACTTAACTTTTCTATAACTAAACCATCTCTCCGATTCTTGAATACGTGAAGGTAAGTCTTGAATAGGTATCCGTCAATCATTTAACGAAAATTCCCTACAAAAGGCCTAGTGGCAAAGATTTTGGGGGTTTCCCCTTTTAGCCCCATATTTTCGACGCCACTGGATTTTTGGAAAATTATCAGTTTGTTGTATCCATATTGAATTTAGAAGCAAAATGTATGTGTTAAAATTTCATCCGAGTGGTTTTAAAGATATTTAAGTTTGAAATTTGAAAGACACTAAGTAGGTACACAGAACATTTATTTTAAATTGTTTACTTGGTAACCACAGAAAAAAACATATTTTTAAAATGCATTTTAGAATCCAAACAGATTTGACAAGTATTTGTCTGACAAGAGCTCCATGGAGCTGCAGGCTGATTGTTTTTTGTGCCTGTAGTGTTTTACTTAAATTCATGCCACGTTATCTGTTTAGAAACTATGCAGATATTTATTATATTGTATAATGTATAGATAATTATTAAAGTGTATGGACTTTGTAAAGGAAATGTGCTAGCGGCAGTTATGGAGTAGCAAAGATATTTTCTCGACTGAAGAATATCCAACGTCCAAGTTTTAATCGACACTCACCAGAGGTTTTTAGACTGGACTACGAAATTATAAAAAACAAAATGGACGTTAACCGACATTGAGAATAGAAATATAATACTTCAAAATAATCCTGTGTAGGGCTTCCGAAAGCTGCTTTAGGACTAAATGCCTTAAAGTCAAATATAAGGGTTCTTCATGACAACCACCATAAACCTTACCATTACCAAGGCCTTCTACATGTAGATAAGAGAGAATGGCATTTTATTCGAAAAATTGTATGGACAGTTTAAGCGAGCTTTGTAGAACTGGTGTTCCAAAATCTCCATGTTTGGGCATAGAAAAACCCAAAAGTAATACGACAAAAGTCCTTTTAAAATAAGTCATAAAATTTTCCCTCATCGACTAACTGCACTGGCACTAGAACAAAACCCAGTGGCGTCAAAAATATAGGGGTAAAAAGGGGAAACCTCTATGCCGATGCACTGGACCTTTTGTAAAAAAAAATAGGTAGACAGACACCTATTCAAGATTTACCTACACAAAATTTGTATGGTTTGGAAGTTATAAAAAAACGGCTTTTTTCTCAACTTTGACGGGTTATAACTCCGATAATATGCATTTTTAGTATAAGGTTTGGGGTTTGTTTTTATGTTTTTTAAGTTTTTAAATTTTTCATATTAATCCTGGACCAGTATATAAGCATAAATTGGACACATATCTAAAAAAAAATTTCAGAGAGTGATGCGGGACCGGTTTCAAAAATGTATGGAAGAGTACCAAGTATACTTTCAAAGTTTGTTATAATTTGCTGCCCCAGTCTTTACTAAACTAAACAAGAAAAATAGGTACGGTACCATTTATTAAAAATAGTATAATTTTGGGGTGATTTGATTACTTAGTGGCTAAATAGTAAACCGTTATTATTTGGTTACTAATTACATTACTTTAGTTTTATGAACTGTTTATAAAATGTATTTAGTTATCTTCCTAAAATTAAAATGTCCTTTCGTTAAATGCTTGAAAACTTCATTAATGCACCCTACAGTGATGCTGTGGCATGTAAACCAATAACGCAAATTTATCCATATGTTATGATTTCCTCCATGATATTGGTGTAATAAAATGTAATTTAAATTGCAATAGCCAGCGATTTCGCTTAATTAAAGTCGTTTTCAAAATATGTTGCAGAGTTCTTTCTGTTTGTACGGGAAAATGAAAATTTTAAATAAATATTTATATAAAATTCTCTTAAAATGCCTATATTTATAAAATAAAAAAGTGGTTATATACAATCTATGGTATATACACAAGGGTGTGCAAAAAAGGAGATTTCGTTTTATTTTTTACTTTCACATTTTAATTTTAGAGTTTTAAAATTTTCCATAGCAATAATACACGTTTTTGCTCCATGCATTCTATGTGGCCATTTTTCTTCTTCATATAAGTGACTGATGATCCTAAAGAGCATATCGTTTAAATTTTACTTACCAAAGAAATAATGAAAATAAGGTTTTAAGGACCTAAACCTAAAACAGCTATGGAACAAAACTTGGGAAATTTTATATTGCATCAAACGTGCTCTTAATTTATACAATAACTTTTATTTCTACAGTCAATAATTACCTTCTATACCTGAAAAATCATAACTTATTGAATAATAATCATTGCTTTTGAGCTATCATCATTAGCAAAGTTCGGATTTTAGACCCTTAAAAATTGGAAATTAGGCAATAAAAACCTACATTTTAGGCCGTGTTAGACCGAAAGTGCCTAAAATAGGCCTCAACCGCCTAAAATAGGCGATATGATAAAAAATGTTATGCTTTACGTTTCCACGGTACAATCTCATGTACCATCTTCAGGTCTTATTTGCTGGGCTTGTGTTGCTGCTCCGCAGCGAATTAGACCGTCCACGTCTAAATTGGCTATTGTCTTTATAGAAAAACTATTTACCACCTGTAAATTGTAAAGAGTTATTTAATTATGCCATTGATGGCGACAAATTATATTACTAAAAACTGTTAAAAAGTCTGAAATTACCATATATGTAATACATATATGGAAATTACAGTAAAACCTATGAAAACAAAGTAAATAATAATTTTCAACCATTATTTTAAAAAATTAATATTATTTATAATTATTTATAATAAATATTTAGATAGCACAAACACAATTTTTATTTTATTATTATTATATTATTTTTTATTAGGTTTTCACCAGTTTTGTTATTTGTGGTCCTCCTACTCGCCAAAGGCGTCTAGGCGAAATAAGAGCATGAAAACAGGGTCTAATTAAAAATAATTTACTTTTCCGCAATGAAAAATATATTTTTTACTGAAAAATTAAAAGAGCCTATTTCAGGCTAATAAAAATGTCCTTTTAGGACAATAAATCAAAATGTTGCCATTTTAGGATTTTAGGCAAAAACAAAGGGGTGTCAAACGCTTTATTTTTTAAGTATAGGATTAATTTCAAGGTCCCAAATAAATGCCTAAAATAGAAACAAAAAGGCATTTTGCCTAAAATCCGGTCCTTGATCATTAGTTACACTAAAATTTAAAAAAAAACATAAAAAAAGACTTTGTGAGTCTATTACTTTTTAAACATTATTAATACTACAAAATTGTAGAAAACAATTTTGTAGATTATTGAATGTACTTAGTTTTTCGACCTATCATCAATAGTTTTTTTAGTCCTTTAGTAAGTTAAAATTTTAAATGAACGATATATCGTTAAAATCGACTTCCTAGCTAAATTAATGAATAATAATAATAATAATATTAACGATTATAATCCATTTATGTTTATTAAATGCTTATATTTTAAACTGCAGCTTTTGGTATTGGAAGCATGGTATATTCGGGATTGGAATTCGGACGATATTTCGAATTAAAGAACAACATCGAATGCGATTCAAATGTGCTTCAGGCTATAACACCGGCAACCAGAATGGCTTTGACTTTAGTGCAAGTTCAATTTATATTTCTTAATAGTAAGGTAAGGTATACTACTACCTATATTATTATGATATAAATATAGGGCGTGTTTTTCCATATTTGAATAAAAAGTCATTTTTTATTGCATTTACAAATTAAAACGTAAACCTTACGTTAAAAATGACATAACAGTTTTATAACTATTTTTAAATTAACTCCCTGGGTTACGGAGGCTGTAGCCAAGGGGGAATGAGAGGGTATATCCCCCGAAATTTTAGAAAATTAAATTTAAAACCGTGGGTACTTTAAAAATTCTACGGGCCAGGGTGCTATCTCTGGTTAATAATATATTTTCAAAAAAAGCCAGATATTTGGTCCTGTATATACGGTGGTTCAGAAGGAATCTTTAATAATTTAAGAATCAGTAAAAAACGTTAAAATACTAATATTAATTTTCTTACTATATATAATATCGAAAACATAACATTTTCAGAAATACAAGGTGTTATAGTTGCATATATTTTTTTGAAAAATAAATATCCTAAACTAAAGAACATACATAGGTAATTTATTGACATTTGGTTAGTATCGTTTTTTAATTAGATACTATAGTTTGGCATTAATTTTTTTTTCGTACTACAAGCAGTGGCACTACGGAGGTGATAATATCCTTTTTTACATTTTCGAAATCAATAGTTAATTTAAGAAAACGTAAAAGTTTAATTAATAAATTCATTTGTAGTAATTAATAGCAACAAATGTAATAATAATAAATAATAAAAGTAATATTTATTTTGAAATAAACTAAATTAACAATACCTAACCATAAAAAAATTACAACAGAAAAAAAAACAACAAATAATTATTTAAGAACAGAAACCGAAATTTGAGCAAAATAGACGGTATATAGAAAATATGATAAAATTTATTTACAGGGAATTGGAATACAATTTTACAGTGAAACGATGCATTTTATAAAAAAATATCAGGTGGACCTTTTTTCGAAAATCGAAAGATCAGTGGATTAATTTTTTTTATAGAGATATTATTACTTATGTAATGAAGTCACTGCATGTAGTATGAAAAAATTGAATGCCCAACTATGGTACCGAATAAAAAACAATACTCATCAAATTTCAATAAAATATGTTCTTTTGTTAAGGAGAAAATAAATATTATTTTGTTTATACTGAATCTGTTTTGTTGCACCCGTTTTTGTGAACCCCCCCAGCTACGGCCATTTATTTAAAATTCATTTAAAGCAAAGCTATATAAAAAAATATGTAGGAAATTAAATATGCAACAAATTATACAATAATATACATTATAGACCAGGCGGATAAAGGTCATATTATAGCCGAGCATACATTTCAGGTTGTGTGTGAGGCAATTAATATGCTTTCGCCGCAGTGTTTTATACGAGGGGTAAACCACTGATTTTTAAAAATTAAAAATCGCTTACGAATTAACGGCTAAGGATAACAATAACAATCGTAGTCATGTACATCGCGTCGCTAAGCACTGATTAAGCACCGATTAAGCAAGTTTTCCTTATTGATAACGACTAATAATAATAATAAACTTTGTAATAAGGAAAAAAATCTCAACACAACGTCCACTAACATTGAACGTTGGTCTCTAAGATTTTAAAGTGGTTTACCCCTCGTCTTTATATCCTATTTTGGTGACAAAAAATTGTTACATAATTTTTAGGTTAGGTTCAACTGACAAGATGATATTTAAGCTTCATTTCTGTAGGTTTATAACACAGGCCGACAGAAATAAAATTTCTGTTTGGTGCATAGCAACCAACAACTTTTTAAGGGTAATTTAGGTACGCTGAATCCAAAAATGAACATCATTTTGCTCAATCAGCTCTTATTTTTGCGATGTAGTAGAGTATCTGCTGCTGCTCTCAATACTCTCATACACTACTCTCAATCAATTTTTGATTGCAATGAAATTTTAACACAATAAAGTAGATAAATAGAGCCACTAATAGGATAAAATTAATCATGCTGTATCACTTTTAATTTTAAAAATATCCGAATTTTGGCTAAAAATTTTCTTTCGATGAAAGCAAGATTCTTTTAGAGAATACCATTATCAATGTATATGGTATTTTTTTTTTAGTTTAATAAAGACCCATAGCAACATTACCAACTATCCTTGCTTAAATTAGAAGTTTAAAAAAATATATTTAAGCATTTAAATGTGCGCATATAAAAAAAATGTTTTTTTGTCTACATCGCAAAAACAAGAGCTGATTGAGCAAAATGATGGTGATTTTTGGATTCAGCGTACTCAAATTACTCTAAAAAATAAAATTTCTGTTTGGTGCATAGCAATCAACAACTTTTTAGGGATAATTTAGGTACGCTGAATCTACAAATGAACATCGTTTTGCTCAATCAGCTCTTATTTTTGCGATGTAGTAGAGTATCTGCTGCTGCTCTTAATACTCTACTCTCAGACACTACTCTCAATTAATTTTTGATTGCATTGAAATTTTAACGCAATAAATTAGATAAATAGAGCCACTAATAGGGTAAAATTAATCATGCTGTATCACTTTTAATTTTAAAAATCGATTTTCTTTCGATGAAAGCAAGATTTTTAAAGAGAATACCATTATCAATGTATATGGTATTTTTTTCAGTTTAATAAAGACCCATAGCAACATTACCAACTATCCTTGCTTAAATTAGAAGTATAAAAAAATATATTTAAGTATTTAAATGTGCGCATATAAAAAATGTTTTTTTGTCTACATCGCGAAAACAAGAGCTGATTGAGCAAAATGATGGTCATTTTTGGATTCAGCGTACTCAAATTACCCTAAAAAGTTGTTGTCTGCACCAAAATGGCTGTCGGCCAGTGTAATAATTTGGCTTTTGAACTTCTTAGTCTTTCTCTATAGACTAATGAGTATTATAACATAAAAATTCCGCTTAAAAAAATTAATTTAAACATTATAATAATAATAAATAATAAAATAATAAAGAATGACTCAATAGTTATTTATGTCATTAGGTTAAGAAGTAAGGTTTTTTGTGCTAAGCTCAAGGTTTGAAGTCCGACGCGTAGCGGAGGTCTACAATTGAGCGAAGCACAAAAAGGCACTTCTTGGCCAAATGGCATACAACATTTTATCTTCAAAGCACTATATAGGTCAATTTAATTCAACATCAATGCTGCCTAACCTCACTTTTTTAGAATCTCATTTATTTATTAGCTAAAGATTACATTAAATGTACAATAATTATTATTGCTTTTAGAAGCAGTAATAGTTTGACAATATATTATATATATTATATAGGTATTAATATTTAAAAAATAGGTAGTTTGGAATGTTTAAGCTGTGTTTAACATTTAATTTCAATGAAAACTTAAAGCAAATTAAAACTTAAAGATAATTTAAATTGTAGAAAAAGAATCGTGCGTTTTCTTGGTTGCCTAACCTCACTTTTTGTTTTATTATTCATATTTAATTTTACAATAATTTAATGAAAAATATTAAACATTAACAGTAAAACAAACAAATTAGTGCTTATTATAAATAAATTAAACCAGTTTAGTACGTTAATTTCTTAGAAAAGGATTAATTTGTCAAAACAATACCCCTAGCGAGAAAAAATCGAACTAATTACTTGCCTTATAAAATTTTTTATCGGCCTAGGCCATAACAAGGTATTTCTTTATCGAATGTTGACAACAATAAAGTTTAAATTATAGACCGCGTGGAGATAAAACTATTTAATGTTTACTGAAAATTTAATTTAAAAACATATGTTTAGTTTTAACGACAATTAGTAATTATATAGACATACATTTTAATATAACATAATTTATATTATAGCTAGTTTATATTAATATACTCAGTTAATATTTAAATACAAAATAAAATATAATATGTATTATAAAGTATGGTTATACAACATCTAAGAGAAAAAATTTAACTTTCTTTATGTACGTGAATTAAATTATATATTTTTTATTTGCATTTCCGTATTTTATTTTTTTTATTAATTACGCAATTGTCTTTTTACAATTACTATCCAAAAAAATAAAATACGAAAATGCAAATAAAAAAGAATGAAATATTTGAAAAGCATAAATATCCAGAATTTATTTGTAAAAAGTTTTTTTAATGCACCCACATAAAATTTATTTTTAAAATAAAATTATAAAATAAATTTTAATTGAAGTATATAATTTTTAATTTATAAACATTCATTGCTTCCAACAAAATAGGAATGTGATTTTAGGATTTTGAATTAAATAGACACAGGACAATAGCAAGATTTGGGTTAATGCATATGATAGCAACAAATTTATGTGAGTGGCTTAATGTTTTGGTGGAGGAAACAAAACATGAAATAATTCATTTGGGAAGTAAGTACCTAAAGTATTTTTAAAAACCATTGTCTTAACTTATCATGCATTATGCAAATGGTATTTATTAATATTTCCTTATAAAATTTTGGATTACTTGTAACTTAAAATAACGTTTAATATGAGTAAAAGAAGAAAAACTTGGGTTCACTTGCTATTGGTAACTGGGGCGGCCGATCATATTCACCCAAGGCATACATTCCTAAATATGTCCCTGCGTATGAAGAAACGACTAATAACCTGTAATGATTTATCAACTCATCCTCTTTTGAAGATAAAAATCCTTACAAAGGCGAAACAATTCATGAAGTTTGAAAATCTATTTCAAAATATTTAAGAAAGCGTATCATAATGTAAACTCCCCAATTTTTAGGTTATATTTATATATATTTGATCGTTGCTTTTAAAAAGGATAATTGTTAACTATACTTAACGAAAGGTTATTAATTGACTTAATCGATGGGGATTTTTTGATTAATTTTATTTATGTTATGTAAAGAAGTTTAAAAAAAAGTGTGATTTTAATAATAATTTATATAATAATATCATAGATAGCTTACAAACCACATTAATGTAAATATTATTAAAACATTGCAAAAGGCGAAGTTCGGTTGGATTTATTGTTTTTGGTTTGATAATAAAATTTAATTTAAACGGTTTTATTTTAAAATATATGAATCTTTATAATTTTGTTTAAATTCGGGTCATTATTTTATTATTGTTTTCTTAATTCCCATTTAAAGAACTAATATTAGCCTAACTATTAATTTATATAAATATATATTATTCAGGGTGGCCCAACAAACAGGAATTTTCAGGTAGTAAGCAGTAATTTAAAAAAACCACAACCCTTGAAATTTTAATGATTGGGCAAGTGATACCTCATTTAAAATGTCTTGCTCCAACTTTTAAAATTGTTCAGGAGAGCGAAATTAAGGTTGAAAACGCGTATATATTTGGAACCAGAAGATATTAATACATAATTTTTTTAACATACATATAGTTTTCTAAAAAGTAAAATGGTGAAGTTAATATTGTTACTTTTAGTAATAAAAAATAAAATGGACCTATTACTTTATGGCTTTGATGAACTTAATATTTAAGTGACTTAATAAAAAAATTTGCTTAGCTTACTTTATATACCTACTTAGATAAAATAAAAATGTGTTTGACATGAGACTTGACAACTGGACATAAAATTATAACATAAACACGAGGATTAAGATAGCTACGATTACCAACATTTCTCATCTCATAAATTTCGTGATCTATGAATTAAATTTTTTGAAAATAATACTAAACAAATAGCTAATGACGATAATTTTAGTTTCAGTTTTTCAAACAAGTGTATGTTCTTTCTTAACTAAACTTTCAATCGCCATATTTGTCGATACTGGTCAAATGCAAATCCAAGGGTTTTCCACGAAGTCCACACTCAAAATCCTTAAAAACTTGGAACCATTTTTCTTGAAGGTAACCTGAAAAAACGGAATTTCTAAAAGATGTAGTTCATTCCTTACAGTCGATATTGTTAAAAACGATGACTTCTACTTTAAAGACCATTTAAAGCACCTGCACACATACACTGCGTGTTAAGTAGTTTTTGGACCAGGTATTTCCTGAACAATGGATTGGAGGAAGAAAAGCTCTGGATTGGCCATACAGTTCTCCAGATTTGACTCCTCTACACTTTTTTATGTGACAGAGCTCTAGAAGAGTTGCGACAACGTATCGTGGATGAATGCCATCAAATACTTTACATACTTCAAATGGTTAGAAGGCGTTTTAAACAAAATTTGTATTTTTGTATGGATGATGGTAGCAGACATTTGAGCACTTAATAGATTAACCTTCCGGCGGGCGCAACCGATCTAAGAGATACACCAGTTAAAATATTGCACCCGGACGCACTGTTTTTATAGGCATAACTACCCACCCTTCAGTAGCTTCATATTTTTAGGACTTCTACCGATATGTCTACTGCAGTTTGTGTTTGATCGCCTTGTAAGGTGACGGCAGGCATTTTGATCTGCTAGATACAGTGCGCCCGATTGCGTTATACTGCAGTATTACATGTAATATTTACAAAATTTTAACTTTTTATGAACGAAAGTATTGATTTATAACTTTTTGTATGCATTTTTACTTTAATTTATAATATGATAGTTCAGCAAGAAGAATGTACTTCAGAATCGGGTATTAGACGGCTTTCTAAATAAAGTGCAAAAAATTAGTTATATTTGATTTTATTTGCGCATTTTATTTATGTATAGTATTTAATAAGTTAGTATATAGTATTATAAAAAGTAGTGTTAATTATTTATTTGATAAAAAATATAAAAAAGCACTTTACTAAGCCTATCTGAACATTGAATCTGTCAGATCACTGCGCCCTAACTCGTGCACAAAAGACGTGCGCCCGCCGGAAGGTTAATGATCTTTGTTCTACAATTTTCATAGTTTTTTGCCAAAAATTCCTTATCTGTACTTTTTTAAGAAAAGAAATATGCAATTTTGAATATGAATAGAATTTGATAATTTTCGTGATACTTAGTGGAGCGAGACCTTTTAAATAAGATCACTTGCTATATCATGCCTATTAAAATTTTAGAGATGACCACTGCGACAAGTAATGATTTGCGAGTGAAAATTAAGCTGATGAGTGTGAGTGTTTTTTTTTAATATTCCTCTGTTTGGTTTTTCTTGAGCCACCCTATTTATAATAAAATATATAAAAGAGTGGTATATTAATGTTAGGTATTTGTTATTAAACTTTTTAAAGCTAAATAATATTAGTTATTTTGTTTAAAGGGATTTAATTATTAGGCTATAGTTTATTGTGTTATAAAAGTAATTTAATTAAAAATATATTTTTTGTGTAACATTGTAAACCTGTTTACTTTTAAATAATAATTGTATTATATTTTGCAGGCTGAAATATTTTCATAAATAAATTACCTAATAATTAATAGGGCTTTGTAAATACTAATTCAATAAAAGCATGTTTATTTACTACAATAAACTAAAACAATACGTTATTTGGCTAAAATACTGTATTTTAGATCATACATTAGATCATACGAACGCCTCAATGACTAAAAAATATTGTCAGGAGGGTGATATTATGGGTTCATTAGTAACAAATGCAAGTCCATTTCTATTTCCATGTACCATAGAGTACAGCCTCATTTGCGCTGTGATTTTATTCGAGATGTGGAAAAAGGTAAAAACTGTAAAAATTAAGAATAAACAGAACAAAGAACTTGGCAAAAGTGCTACGTCTGGCCATAAAGATGAAAAATTCACGCAGTATTTTAATTTTCGTAAGTATAAAATATAAAGGTTGGAAACATTACTTGAATTTTACTTAACTTTTAGCTCCATATATTAACAACCCCACCAATTCGAATCATTTCACTATAGATTGTTCCAATGCACACAGAGGACTTTTTGCTGGAATAATGGTTATAGTCCTAACAATTATTTCGCTAATTATGTTTTTTGTTCTTGCAAAAAAAGGAGGAACTTCAGAAAGCAAAAAGGTTGCCGAATTTGAAGTCAGTATTGTGGAATTAATATTGTATATCATAACCACTATAGTTGTTGTTGTGGCTATGTTTCAAATGAGGGCACTAAAATATGATAGAAAAATTGGAGGTAAGGTTAATAATATTGTTTGCACTAAATACAGGGCTTAACGAATAAACTTTTTTTAAGTGTATAGAAATCGAAATATTTAATAGTTCTTGATAGGGTTTTTAATTATGAATATTTTAAAAGTGGCAAGTGCTAAACGTTTTTTATATTTTTTTCCATTCCTATACGCTAAAGAAGCATCGCTAGTAGCGCCACTCAAATATTAAATTTAAAACCAACCAAGCCCAGTTGTGACGATATACACTAGTCAAATGATCATTTGGTCAAATTGTTTGTAATATTAAACATACACATATGCACTTTATGTGATATGATTTTATTTTATTTAAGTGTATCCATTTTATAAAGTAATTCTGTTTTTCAGTGGAAGGTCAAGTCGGTATAGGCCTGGATAACACACTTTTAGTAGTGGCACAAACCGGAATGTTTATATACTGCATGTTTTCAATAATCGGCTGCTACTTTAGCATGGACAACAGCCCCTCAGCTGAATTGCTAGCCGAAATATTTTCATTCATCCAAACCTGCCTGCAAACAATGTTTGTATTGGACGGCTGGTGGAGGAAATGTCGAAACATGAACCAGGCAAAAAATAAACCTGGAAGGGAATTGATAACGTTTTTAATTGTTGCCAACATGGCAATGTGGATAATAAACACTCTAGAGAAAAATAGAGCGGAGTTCAGGCAGACACATTTAGACTTTTTTGGAGACTGGGCATGGACCATTATCACTCATATTTCGATGCCCTTGGCTATATTTTATAGATTTCATTCAACGATTTGCTTGTTCGAAATATGGAAGTCTGCATATAAAATTAAAGCCTGCCAAAGGAACCCTTTCTTTTCCATAATTTAGCTTTTTTATATGAAAATACATTAACCTACATATATAAAATATTATTACTATTTTGAGTATCTAATGTACTGGTTTCTTTATATTATTATTAAGGAATAAATTAGTAAATAAAAGCTAATAGGCTATTTTTTTACTCTACCAGTTTTCTATCCCTTTAATTAAAATTTAATTGTTACAGCACACTGTTTTTTAAAAACAGCCCTAGGTTTATAATTAATTTAAGCACCGTTGATACTCTACTGTTAACCTTGTAGTAGTGGCGCCTTATATTTAACATTGGTGGTGGCGCCCGGCCTGTCAGGCCCGTAAATTTAAAAAAATCATATTTATGCTAGTATTTTTTCTTTGTGAATTTTTTACTTTTAATTTATTACTTAATCCTATTGTGACCAAGGTCACTGATTTTTTTTTAACAAAAAAACCTCATATGTTTGAAATATGGGGTTAATTTTATGGGGACAGGATTATAAGGTGACATAATATTATTTCTCAAAAAACTAAATAAAAAATTTATTCTACCAAAAAACAACAAATGGTTTATAAGCTTGAATAACAAAATATCGTATTAAACGTGGTTTTGATTTTTTTCCACACAATTATGACACATAATTTTGGCATGGGTCATACATAGAAATTTTTGGCTATGAAGTGTGTGGTCCTTCTGTCTATGCGACATTCTGCACACCTTTTTCTGGTCCCAGGGGGAATTAGTTGAGGTTCAACATTATCGGTAGAAGTCCCAGCTACTTTTTGTCGCCTTTGACGTACCTCAGTTGGTAAATTTTGTTCCATAGAACGGCGTTTCAAATGCTTCTACTAGGACATAGCGCCGTTCTTCAAGAGCTTTCTCATTAATAATTTGAATTATTAGCAGTGTGTATTACTTGGGCATTTATTCCAGCCACATTCATTAGCCCATAAAATATGGCCATATTGGATAGAATAAAGTATAAAAATATGCTAAATAATTAATATACCACAAAATAGTCGTATAACATAAATGGTGGCGCCCGGCCTTTCAGGCCTTTTTAGGTTATAACTTTTTAAGTTAGAACTGTAAGTAAATAAACATTGCACTACACCTTTCTACGCAAAAAGTTAGGAAGGTACTAAAAAATTCAGAGTTGTCTCTTAATTATTTTCATAATGATCCGCTAAATAAGATCGCTTGGGCCTGTTAGGCCGTACGCCACCAGTAGAAGGTTAATATTGTCCCGTGGCCCCTGCTTAGTTTTTGTAAAACCACAATTCACAAATTAAAGAATTAAATAAATTTAATAAAATATACATCTAGACCCACTCCGTCAGTACCTTAACAACAGACGACAGTACAAAATGGAGAAAAAAGAATGTGAGACTACTCTCAGGTTCTTTCAATTCCCCCTATTGAGTTTGTACTCATTGTGTAGGCTCCATGGTATGGACGTTAGTAAGTGTGAAACATGATTCTTCTAAGACTAATGTGACCAGATTTACTTCATACCGGAGTCTGGTGTGACGTAAACTATGTAATAGCAGTGTTACGTATGTTTTTGTCATATTTATTTTGTCAAAGTCTGGATTTACATTTACAAATGCATGTTGTTTTCAAACGTTTTATTAAATATAAAATGCAATATTTAATTACCTACAATTCATAAAACAATAAATAATAAAAATATATAATAGAATTATTATATCTATATAATCAATATTTTATAATAATTTTATAAAATTAACATTCTATGATATAAGAAAATTATGTAGTCTTTAACAAAAAATATTTTCCAATAAAATCAACAACTCTGTTCTTCTATAATTATTTAAACTGTTTACAGCTAGACAAAGTCTAAGGTTAAAGAATAAAGGCTGATTCTCACATATATTGCCTTGCCCATGCTATACTGCCGCCGCGAAAATCTAAATCTGCTTAGGCAACGGCATGCCGCGGCATGGCATAGGCACGGCAATAAATCAATTGCTTTAAAAATTTAATAATAGCACGATACCATATTTGAAAACCAGCCTTAAAGTATAAAATAATTAAAAAATATTTAGTGTTTAAGTGAGTTTTGTTATGGATGTAGTAAAAGAAGAAAATAGGTAAGGTTTTAATGATTTTGTTGATATATTTTTAAAAAATCGGTTTCTTATTGTGTTATTCCCTATTTTGTATTATAATAATATTAATTATTATAAATGAAATAAAAAACGTTTATAACTTTAAAGGTTAAATAAAGTAGAGTAGTAACGCTATCGACCTATCCAGCTTAAGGTTCGGTCCTTCCGCGGTAGCTTAAATATTATATTTTATCTATTTTGCGTTCATAATAACAACACTTTCGGTGCTGTTATGAAGTACTTTACCCCACCCAAAATTTTGATTTTATAGGTTGGCTACTTTAAACAGCATTCTAGTAAAATATTGTTTTGCATATTGGTTATAATATTTTTATGATTTTTCTAGTAGTATGAGACTTTTCTGGCAATACATTTTTACCAAATAAAATATTTTTTTTCTTTTTTAACATTAACAGCCGCTTATTGTAAATAAGTAAATTAAGGACGCCATGGCGAATCGATTTTGACATTAACCCTTCAAACCAGTGACAGTGATACCAACTATCTAAAGTAAAATTCGACCAAATAAAATATAAGGTGTAAAATAATTTTTTATATAGAATTTGTGCAAAATAGATAATAGTATATTATGTATCAAGTTTTATAAACCCCATTTTAGATATGAGTTTAATTAAACACGAGCGAAGCTTACGAGCGAGTGTTTAATAAAAACGAATGTCTAAAGAAGTTTATGAACGAGTTGCATACAATACTTTATCTACGACGAACAGAAAGAATAATTTAAAGCCATTTTTTATTTGTTAAACATTTAACATCTGTCAACTGTCAACGGATTTAACCTCAATTTTCGCCAATTTATTTATTTATATAACTTCAGCCCGTGACTAAAACGCCATAAAGTCACAAATCGTCAATGTAGGAGTCGATAAAATAACATAAAGAACTCATGTCATAATTGTCCTCTTGCAAGAAAATGACGTCTTATGACATTAGTTCTTTAATATTCTATTATTCAAGAACAATTTAATATCTTTAAGTTTTGGGCGAAATTTTACTAATAGTGGCGAAATAGCATTTCGCCACGGGCTAAAGTTAGGTTTAAGTTAAATTTGGAAAAAATTGAGGTTAAAACTAATTGACAGCTGTCAGATAAAATATCAAATAAAATTGTGGTTGTATAATAAAATATGAGTGCGAATATTGGTGAAAAAAAGAAAATTTCACACAATATAGGTACTATTATTAGAAGCGATTTTTTTAAAAACGTATAAATTTCTTACTTTGAAATGTCCATTAAAATTATAATTTTAATGAAACAAGTAAACAAATTTCAAATGTTTTCGCGAATATATAATAGTACCAAAAAAAACAACAGTAGTGGCTCCACCACGTGGCCGTTGTCATCGTAACAAAACTTCAAGTTTTAATAATCAGCTGTCAAACGCGTATTTTACAAACGAGTGTTTTTAAGAATAAGGCCAAAATAGTATATTATGTATCAAGTTTTATAAACGCCATTTTATGCACGAGTTTTATTAGGCACGAGCGAAGCTTGCGAGCGAGTGTTTAATAAAAACGGGTGCCTAGAGATGTTTATAAAACGAGTTGCATACTATAGTTTATCTACGACGAACAGAAATAAGAATTTAAAGCCAATTTTAATTTAAATATTTGACATTTGACATTTGACAAATTTAACCTCACTTTTTTGCAATTTATAATAACGCTAACTTCAGCCCGTGACTAAAATGCCCAAAAGCCACTGTTGTTAACTTCAGCCTGTGACTAAAACACCATAAAGTCACAGCTCTTCAATGTAGGAGTAGATAAAATTTATAAAATGTCGAGCGAAAAAACGTGGAACAACATATCGTTGTATTGTTGGGTGTTTTTAGAGAGAAAATCCTGGATTGAGCTTTACCGGTTTCCCAATAAACAGTGTTAATCTGAATGAAGAAATAAATTGCATACAGTCCCTGTAAATATAAATTGTACCTATTAGATACAATAAATACACATTTTAGTACTGATTTTCTTAAAAACTGTAAACATTTCAATTCAATGCAGTTGTCGGCGATTTTTTAGAGGGCTTCCTCGCTCGTTTTGCAAATTTTCCTCGTGCGGGAAAATATCTTATGACAAGTTTTTATACTATTTTTTTTATTTGTCAAACTTTTAAGACAAATTCAAATTATAAAATATATTTGCGTATCGGACTGTTTGTATGGAGACAATACGAAACGCAAATGCGTATCGTACTGTGCTTATAATATTAATATATTAATATTTTATACAAATAGAAAAGAGTTTTGTATAGGGTGTCCAGAAAAAGGAAGTCAATTCCTTGACCAAAAATAATATGATTTTTATAAAACTATTTTTAAACCTAGACCATTATGTTTGATATATCAAAATTAAAAATTTAAAACTGATTTTTTTGAATAATTTGAGTATTTAATAAGATATTAGTTTAAATTTGGTATATTGCTTCAACAAAAATACTATTAAATAGTTACAAATTTTAAGAAAAAGAAAACACAATTGTCCAATAATCAAAATACCCCCCTATTATATACCCAGTACACACTGCCCCCCCTATTTGTAGTACGTGCGCCAGTGACTTCCGAACTATATTTTTTGGTAATTAGGTAACATTAATGTTTTTTTTTTATTTCTATAAAAAATTTTGATAAAATAATTTGAAAAGTATTAGTCCCTAATTGATGCCTACGCGGCTTACAAGAATCTCATAATTTTTAAATACATTAAATCTGCTATAGGCATTAACATAAATACAATTAAGTAAAATTATACAATAGGATTTCAAAGTAAATACGGACCTTGATTCTTTCAAGGTCTGCGATTAAGTATCCACATTCTTCATCAGAATTGAAACATATTATCATCGTTTTTTTGTTCTGTGCTATTATAAATTTACGTACGTTAGCTCAAAGTGGATTACCTAGTAACTTTTCTTGTGTGGATCGAAAAGGGTCTCGGAATTTGAGGTTAGGTCATTTGTCAAATTAATCTTTTGTTTTAATAATAAAACTCCGCTCCTTGATAGTTTTGCTTCTTTTTTTTTAGAATTTTATGAAAAGTTTGGTGAATGTTTCGGTTTTTTTCTTTCAAAATATTAGGTCTCTTAAATTTAAGTTCTATTTTGGGAAACGCAATATGAAAATATTTTAATTAACAGTTTTTCATGGCTGTCAAGTTCCAAATTTGAATAAGATACCAACTTTGTAAAAAAACAACAACCCCGCTAATTGTCATTGTAGCCAAGCTAATAAAAAAATTTAATTTACTTTAATACATTCGCGGACACGACTGCTATTGCAGACACATGTGTAGGGACACGAGTCGTGTCACACGACTGCAATTGCAGACAAATTTTAAACCACAGAAAAACGCATGCCTGCATTAGCAGTCGCTATTTACTATTAAATACGTATGAATGGAAGCATATTGTCCCTGTACATCAAGTTTTTTAGCAGAAAAGTGTCCCTCTAAGTGATACATTTTAAGGTTAAATATATAGTTCCCGCGCAGATTGTTTTCTCACGAAAAGCGTCATGTCTGCAAAAGCAGACAGTAGCTTCATAACGGCCAATGGAAGAGGTTATGAAGTGTCCCTGTAAATTTCGATTTTATTTTGTTGTTGTTTTTAAATGTTATTATAAGTTTTTTTTTTCGATTTTAACTCTCGGTAAGTACCTATGCGAAACACAAACTCATCTTCAGTTGCAGCTTTGCATACTTTGGAAAAAATTCCTTTGCCTGAAAACTATACAAGGAAGAGTTACTTTTTAAGATGCCGGTATTGCGCACAAAACAAAAAGAGGGGACAAACGTCCTGGCGCTGCTTAGGGTGTGATAATAAACCGCCACTATGTGTGGGTGATTGTTTTACTAAGTTCCATTCCCAATGATGACTTTTTATTTTACAAAAAAATATGTTTTAAAAGAATTTAAAAGTTAATTTTGTTGTATTTTTTATTATTTATTTGAATAAAGTTTATGTTTTTTACGATTTTCTTCTTATTATCGAAACCGGCATTTAGTTTATTAACGTCTGCAATTACAGACGCATGTCCCTTAATATAAAATTTTGGGATATACAAGGACGTGTCTGTTATAGCAGACGTCTGCAAATGCAGACAAAAGTTGGTGTGTTTTTGAGTATCCTCTAAAATCTGGAAGTGTCCGCGAATGTGTTAAATAATATTTTATATAAAATAAATTAGAATTATTAGAAGTATACTTCTAAAAAATAAAGTGGGTTTCCCTTATTTCCTATACAAAATTTAAAACCAAAAAAGTTAATTTATCCTTTCTGAAAGGAAAATTTTAAAACTCGCTAGAATGGACACCAATACATATTTTTGTAAAAAAAAAATTGCCCTAATAAAAAAATAATATTTATAATTGTTTCAACCAATAATAGTCTTTTGTGACTATATTAAAAAAAATACACAAAATATCAATATATAACCTCAAATGCCTGCTGTAATTTTATTTGTTTTTTTTATTTGAGCCCTCCTCCGTCTCCAAAACTGCCTGATGACCCACATTCCACATTACAATCTCCTCAAATAACATTTACAAATGAAATTGAAACAAAATACGATTCAGACCGTGACAGCATCGTTTCCTCTAGACCATCTGCTAAAATAACAGCTTTAAGAAGATCATCACAAGCCTTATCAGCTGCTCAATCTGTAAATAATGTAGAAAGATACTTTTCTCGGTAAGTTATATAAGTTAAAAAAGTTTTTTACTTGTTGTTTAAAACTTTAAAATTATAGCATGGCTATATTTTGACGTAAGTTAGGTCTACAGGGGATAAGAAGAAAACCTGCCTCTTGTCCTCATTTATGGTCCATGCATGATGGGTAGTATGGTAGTATCGTAATAATTTACTTTAATTTAAAATATAAAAAAAAATTTGACTTCGCCTAACTATATTTTTTAACTTACTTAAATAAACAAAATACACTTTTGACAAAAATTAAAGTTATATACAAAATTATTTGCTTTTTACATTATATTGTTCAATATATATACGTATATACGGAGAGAGATTCACTAAAAACTAAAAAAATGTATTTTAAAATACATTTTTACATACAACCTTGTAAAAAATTAAAACGATATAACAGAAAACTGGGGAGTTAATCAAATAAAAATAAATTACATCCCAACTAAACTTAAAAAGATATTTTATTTAATATTTTAGCGATTCATTTACAATTATTATATCAGCTTTATATGCAAAACTGTTGGTGGTATTGGGTATGGCATTTCCAATAACAGAAATAATATTAAAGGATGTGAGACCGTTTTTTTATCAAGCATTTTATTTGTATTTATATTTAGGAAGTATTGCATTTGTATGGTATATGCATGCAATATATTTTAAAGAAAATACATTAAAGCAAATAATAAAAACTCAAAGTAAGTAATGTTACTTTAGAAAATGTTATGCAATAATACCTTTAATTTTTATTGTTTTAGAAAAAGACAGTAAACCGGGATTTATAAAAAAACAAAAATCACATCCAATTAGATATGGAAGTTTTTATCTCAGGTTGGGTGCTATTGGTAAGTAAATTTGGATTTCAATTTAAATTTTAAGATTTTAAATAACATTAGAATAGTTAATAAAATCTGTATTTTAATATGCTTCTAGTAATCCATTCAATATACCATTTGAAATCATATAATTTCTAATAAAAGCAATATTTACTTTTGTAAATTTTAAATTGGCAGTAGACATTTTTTTCTATTTAAATTTTAAATTGACCTTTATATACCCACCAGTAAGATAGTTGGCATATCCCATGATTTCTGGTACTAAGGGATTTTGTCTTTTTCCCAGTTTTAAAGTTCGCCCTTATAAACTTATACAACTTTTTTTAAGTTTCGTACCACCTTTAAAGCATACATGATATATCTCGGGGTATTTTAGATAAGGCATTTATCAGCAGAAAAATTATCATCTATCAGCATAGTTCGGTTACTTTTTTTGCATTACAACTGGATAATTGGTCATGTTTGGTTTTAACAAAATATTTCATGGTCCAAAAATGTTATTATTTAATGGAGATTATTCATTGGTGGCTAGATCCCCAGATTTTGTCACACTTCATGGCCACCGAGGTGTCCGAATTTAACTCCGTTCGACTTCCATCGGAAGACTTTAGTTATCAATAATGATTATAACATAAATAATTATAAGTTCCCGAAGAACGTTCCATCGCCTGTTTAACAGAATTTTGGGACATCCTGTATTTTTCAATAGCATTTACTGAGAAGCCTTCATCCATAATAATGAAACTGCGAACAATATTAGTTTTCGTGTCAGGGATTAAAACATGAAGATATGCCCCCAATCAAATATATTTTCAATGGTTGAGTTTGTTAATTCATTACATCGCGATGCATCGTAGAGCAACAGAAATACCCATAATTATGGGTATTTCGTTTGCTCTATAATTATAATTATTGAAACCGAAAATATTTAAAATATAGCCTTCGTTTAAAACCAACTGTATTGTATACCCTCAACATGAAGAACTTTTCATTGGATGTTCTGGCCAAAAGAATAAGAAGTACTTTCCAAATTTTGACGATCTCATGTACTTGCAGGGTTGTCTTGAGCATTAAATATTTTGTCCACAATAAGGAGGATGCAACATTGTAATAAAAATCAGTAAAAACTTTAGTACTGTGTTGTCTGATAGAATACCACAAATATTGGATTAAAAATAGATCGTATTTTTACAAAGTGTATTGGAAAATGTTGGTCATTCTAAATAAAGAGTATGGTATTGTTTGCAATTTTTGATAATTTCAGCACGATTAAAAAACGCGATCCGCGTTTGTTTAGAACAATGTTAAATGTTTATTTGTTTATTTATTTTTTATTAAATATAGCAACAGTGCAACATTTTAGATTTTTTTATTTAACTGCAAATAAAATCTATTTATTGACATGTTATTAATTTTTTTTACAAAACCAATTACCCGTTAGTAAGTAATTTTTTTTTTATTTAGAGCAAAATTTTTATATAAATGCGAGTTGTATTTTTAATACAATATTTATGGAATATTATGAGGCAGTGAAATAAATTTTGGGGTTTTGACCATGCAGTAACAATTTTATAACTAGGTAGATTAACATTTTTAAATTGATATTACAATTAATATTACATTTTATGGTAGTCATTCGCATAATTATAACGTTGGTAATATGTGAATTGTGGATTAAATGTTTTATTGACCCTGAAGATTAACAAGCCACAAAACACTTACAAAAATTATACATTTGGCCTTCGGCTTGTGTCTTAACATTTTTGCGTATTTTATTTGATTCTTAATTCACAAGTACAATAAATTATTTGTTAAATTTATTAAAAATTATAATTTATTTATTTTTTCTAAATGTTGTATTTAAATTGTAGCTTTTGGGATTGGAAGCATGGTTTATTCGGGATTGGAATTCGGACAATATTTCGAATTAAAGAAGAACGTTGAATGCCATTCAAATATACTTCAGGCTATAACACCGGCAACCAGAATGGTTTTGACCTTAGTGCAAGTTAACTTTATATTTCTTAATAATAAGGTATGTAGGGTATGTAGAAACATCGTGTTCTTTTCCATATTTTACGAAAAAAGTTAATTTTAAAATTTAAAATTATATGTTTAGTCTTAACGGCAATTATGAATTTTATATTTATACATTTTAATATAAAAAAAATGTATAATGACAAAATAATTTTCAATCGGACATCATTTTAAACTCGAGTTCTGTCAATAAACACTATGCACACAAACATGCACTAAAACGGTAAAAATCTTAAATAATTGCAGTGTTTAAGTTCTAAAGGTAAATGATTAAACAATTTTGCACTTGGATAAAAAAATATAATTGTGTTAAAGTTAAATCTCGGTATTGTGTAATGGCAATTGTTGACCTTACGCATAGTTGTTGACCTTGTACCTATAATAATGCTGTAAGCGTACAAACCCTCCAGCAAAGAATCTGTAAAAGTTACACCCCCAGTGATAAAATGAAATATAACACCACGACAAAGTTGTTTTTTATGTTACCTACATTTAATTACGACAAATAAATAAAATAATTACTTACGGTAATAAAGCTCATTAAATTTAGTAACCCAAGGTAATTTTGAGGTGTTGTATTTATGGGGAAAGTATTAAAAGGGAAATAACAAATATAGTAAAAAAAAGACAATAAATCACGTTTGAACTCAGGTCTTGTTTATTTTTATATAATTATTTCTCATAAAACCTTCCAAAATGAGGGATTATGGGAGTGAGTTAAAGTTATAAAACACCAAAATTTATAACAAACAATAATTTTATTTGTTTGGATAAAGCAACAACAATAACCGTAAGCCAAACGACATTTAACTTATTTTCTGAAAGAGAACTCTGAAAGAAAGGGACATCCTACAAACCCTTAAAACCACACAAAATCACCTTATTGCGACCACATATAATATAAATAAATAAATATATAAATACCATTAGATAAATAATACATCATACTTGAGCTCTGCTGTCCTTGTACTTGAGCTCTGCTGTCCTCGTACTTGAGCTCTGCTGTCCTCGTTTTCATTTTTAGTTTGTTTCTTTGTGTTTTTGCTTATTTGTTGGATAAAAGTAAATTGAGTTTTAGTCTCTATTTTTGTATTTTAATTTTTGTATTTTATCCGTCGAGAATTTTATACGTATTAGGTATCCGTCCTCTGTACAAAGTTTTTATAATTATTAAATGTTGAATTTAAGTTTACTGTTTCATGATTATTCATGTATTATTTATTAGAGTTCAGTTTCAATATACTGTTAGAATAAGGAGTAAATAATACTCGGCTTCGAGGTCATTCCAATTGAGGGTCCACAATTGCCCATTATGCCTCATTTGTCGGCAAACTTTAATATCTTAATAATTAGGTATATTAGGTAATAATTTGACCAAATAACCAAAGGAGGCTATGTCTGCGTTGCGCATTCAGATGAATACAGACCTGCTGTCACCTCTAAAAATTTACAGAATAGAAATATTGAAATAATAATCATGTTACATACAAGAAATTTTAAATTGTTAAGCATCTCGTTTACCAGTTCAACATAGTTTTTAGCTTTGCGGTTTTTCAGAAAATTTCCGACAACTTATTATTTGCCAGTGATGTGTTCTGTCTCTGCTATCCCAAAGACACAAAAAGCAGAAATATTTGGTGTTGCCACTTTGCTGTCCAAGGAGAAAGTTTACCGTTTCTAAGTCCACACAAATCACCCATTTATGTTCATGATACTTTATTTTCTCCAAGACCAAAGCTATGATGTTATATTCTTCTTTCGTTTTCGTTGAGTAAGCAATTGGTATTGAACCATATTTTTTCTTATTTTGTAGGACCATTTTTAAACTTCGCCTTGAGCTGTCAATAAATAGGCGCCAATCATCTTGAACATATTCAGCAAGACCCACGTCTTCCAGGAGTCCTTTAATATCGTGACAAAATACAAGATTGTCTTCTTGAGAGAAAAAAGATAGCTTACCCTTGTTCCTTGTACGGTAAAATCTAATTTTGGTTTCTTTTTCTAGTGAATTTTTTTCTTTTAACCTGAAAGCAAGTAATTTTGAAGCTTCTTTTGATATGTTCTCTCTGATATGAGCTCTCTGGTGAGGTTATTCTGTCATCCTGTTTAAAACGTTGTGGAATTGATGAGATCCCCTCATGGTAAAACGTTGAAGAGAGAGTTGGATATATCCACTTGCTACTGTTGTTTTGATTAATTCCAATAATATTTACTAGAAATAGCAGTCATCGAAGTGGTTTTGGGTTTCTCTTAAAACCATTGGTACACTGAATTTCAGACTTTTTCTTCAACAAGCCTAATACCAAAGTATCCAAGATAAGCCTTCTCTACAAAGTCAAAACATTTTTTCTATTTTTTTAATGTGTATTCTTCAAATATGTAGAAAATTATATCAGGATGATTTACACAACTTCTTCTACTTAAATTTATTTTACGCTTAATAAAATTTAATACCTTATTTTTTCCTTTGTTAATTGATATACAGTCTTTAAGGTTGTAATGTACCTTCTAGTAATTTAATTACTACCACTTGTCCAAACAAAATATTATTTAAAGAGATTAATAATAATAATTATTATAATTAGTAAAGTACCTGCACGCACAAAAATACAGATCTAAAAAAGTAGAGCGATTTTATTTTTAGATTCAAAATTAACTAAAATAAGTTTCAAAATCCTAAGCACAAAAAAAAATTATGTTGGCATATGTGGCATATGTTATTAAGGGTTTAAAAAATATTTAATTATCTGAAATTTGTATGCACGTACCTGTGTGCTGTATAGTATAGTATATTGGGACAAAAGCTAAAACTTAAATTTTAATAAAATGGGCATGTATATTTTTTCAGGGTATGAATAAATTAAAATGTAAAATTTTTAATTATATTAGTCAAACAGCGTTTGTTATTGCATTTAAATTAAATTTTATTTCATGAAAGAAGGTTTTGCCTAAAACCGTTTTTAATGACATTTATAAATGGTTTATATTTTATTATAAGATACAGTTATTATAAATCGCCCAATAATTGGGCCCCAATTGGACTAATATTAAAAATCATCATTTATAACATAACATGCATTATAAGTAGAGAGCGGATTCTAAGATTATAGTAAATTTTGATTGTTAGTGCAAAATATGTTTGGGCGTTATTAGTGCAATTTAACCCAAGATCATTTTTGAATTTTCTCGACTGTTTAGAAAATGACTAAACCTTGTCTAAAATGCCTAAATGCTTACCTAAAATAGAGACTTTTATTTTTTCAATGCACGCTGGTAAGCAACACACTTCAGTGTGCAGTCACACCGAAGCGCCGACATTCGCTTGATATCGATTGATATTTTGTTTAATTATTTTTTTTTATAAATTGAAATTATTAAATAAGAATCTAAAATCAGCGAGACCAACGTTCAATCGAACCTTTTACATTCACAGATTTTTCTTAGATACGGGTTGAGTATGAGTATGGGTTTTTTCCTTAGCTTTTAAGTCGTATGCAATTTTTGATTTTTTTAAATTAGTGGTTTACCCCTAGACTTTCAATTTATTAATTTTATTAAAATTTATTTTTGTATGGGCCAGTTTATTCACCTTCCACTAAATTTAGCCAATGCTTACTTGTCATAGTTACAATTATGTTCACAATTGTAACTTTTACAGTTATCTGTCTAATATATTAAAATAAACGCTGTTATTTTTTAATACCTTTTAAAAAGGAATTGCTATTACCTTTTTTGTGCCTATTTGTGTGTGCTTAGAATATCTGACTGATAAAAAATAACTACACTCAGGGGCATACGCATGGTTCAATCCCCCCTAAAATTTAAGAAATTGTTGTGTTTTGAGATTTTTTAAAAAATCCTTCCAAGCTTATAATCATTATAGTTTCATTTTACTTTTATATTTTACCAAACCCCCTCGCGCCTGATTACACTTGTAACAGCAATTTGTATCCAGAACATTTAACATTCAATCCCAGTGTATATCATTCGCTAATATTAATTTTATTATGGTTGTCTTTCTTTTGCTCTTCTTTGATTTGCTTTTTCAACCTCCTTTTAGTGAAATCCTTGACAAGCAGTCGGCGTCTTTATGGTTGCGTCCATTTTTCTGAACTATTGAGTGCTCTAATTCGGATAACTTAATTTCCGATACAACCAATCGTCCACTAAGGTCCTTTAATCCAGAAAAGGTATGATGATCGGTTATTATATTAATATGTCGCCCATAAACAAGATAATGTAGGTATCCAAGACTCCAAATGGAGGCTAAAGCTTCCAGTTTTGAGATTGTTCAATTTTTTTCGGCTTTTGTTAACTTATTAAAGCCACAGGTTGTTCTTGGTTATTATTTTCTTAAGGTAAAATGGTTTAAACACCATCTATGCAAGTGTCAACGCAAAGCTCACATTTTTTATTTGGGTTAAAATACACACTAGTACTAGTGGTGTATTCACCAATCACTACTGGTGGAGTTCCCTATAGCTAAATATAAACTTAATTTTTTATATTTTTTATAATAAAAAAGTGTTTTTACTTGTTTAAAACTATCTTAGATACTAGTAAACGGATTGAAATTTTCTTATACGAAAGTCAAGGTAAAATAAATTTTCTATCATTAATATATTTAATATTTTTCTTAGACTATCGGTTTACTAGTCATTTTAAAATATTTTGCAGATTTGTAGCAAATTTACAAAACAATAATGTGTTCCACTATGAACTATGCCAAGATTATTTTTTGCCCGTTTAATTGGAAATTACAGCCTCATCAATTAGAAATATAATAGGCCAATTCCTAATTAAATCGGTAGGAATTTTTGTAAAAATAAAGAAAATCAATATTTAAAAATTTTTCAATTATTTTTATTTTAGTTATCATTTAAATAGTGACTTAGCTTGATGTAGTTAGTCTTCCGTGACTATTTTCAGTTTTTCGAGTCAAGAACCAACAATAGTCTCCCATCATTACTTCGTCCCATATTTCCTGATTTCATACTTTTTATATGCTGGTTTAAATGTTTGCCATGCTCGTCAAGATTCTAAGGTAAAAAATCTAAATGGGTATAGAGAAAGTGAATTTTTAAAGACATCTTTAAATCTATTTCAGATAAAAAAGAAAATTAATAGAGTTAAAAACTTAAATGCTTGTTAATCATACTTATCCTTTCATAGTTGGTTATTAAGCCTTGTATTATTTTCCTATAATTTGGACTTTTTAAGTTTTTGAAAAAGAACTAACTAGGTACTAATTGAAACGAATTTTAATATGGCTATTTCATAACCAAAATTATAAAAAATAAATTTTAATTGCATTAATATTCATTCAACAATATTGTTTCAAATAAAATTGTTTTAGGATTTTGAATTAGATAGACACAGGACTATTGCAAGATTTGGGTTAATGCATATGATAGCAACAAATTTATGTGAATGGCTTAATGTTTTGGTGGAGGAGACAAAACATGAAATAAATCATTTGGGAAGTTAGTAAAGTATTTTTAGAAACCATTATGTTATTATTTTTGTGCCCTTAACCTTATAAAGAAACTGTAATTAACCTGCAAGGTTGTGAGAACTGGCCAAGCACAGTTCTGCAACACACATAGTTAATCAGGTCCGTTTGAACGGTGACTTACCTCTCACCGCTGTCTCTGTACCTATTTGCCCCAAACACCATGACTAGCCGGCACTGGTAAGGTCTAATAGGACGATGACGAGGTATTTGGCAAGTTCCTAAAATATGGGCACGACATCTTATGTAAAAAATAATTGTTTTAATAAAGGTTGTAGATCTCATCGAGAATAACACTTTTAAAAAAAAAATATTTGAGCTTTAGTTTTTACAAAAACCCCTTTATCTCTATTCTTTATGGACATATTTTACCAACAAAGATAAATATGTTTATATAAAAATATTTATTTAATAAAACTGTTAGATCGATAAGATCTACAAAACTCCATTAGGTTGTACATTTTTAGTAGAAGAAAAAATAAAATGTCGGGGTCACATCGGGCCCCAATATAATAGTTACGGATTAAAAGTAATTTAATTAAAAATATATTGTTGTGTAATATTTTTAACTTATTTGCTTTTAAATAATAAATATAATTTAATCATAGATTGCAGGCTGCAACATTTTAATAACTAATAAATAAATTACTTTCTCTACGACTACTTAAGAATAGTAACATTCTAGTGTAATTTTTGATCATAGAAACAGGGCCGGCTTAAGGCAATCCAGCGCCTTAGGCACTTAAAAATTTGGCGCCTATTTCTGATACTATACTTACTTACTTACCTTATTATCCCTTATAAATTAAAATATTTTTTATTAAAAAAATACATATAAAACATAATTTAAAAATGTTTAAGACGAGTTATTGTTTTAGACATATTTTGATTTAGTCTTAAAATGAATAAGTCAAAAATGACTAATTAAAAGTCATATTTGAATTACTGTCATAGCGACAAAGCAGTCACTAATAATTATTAGCAGTCACTAATTAAAATTAGTCAAATTCTACGGAATGAAACAGTCAAATTAGTAGACGCACCTCTGCTACTTATTAAATTTATGATATCTGTCAATAAATATTGTTAATAAAATTGTTAAAGTTGAATATATTTTTTGTGATGGAGCTAAACTTTTTGCATCTTTATTTTTATGGACCATGGAGCCTATATGCATTTAACGCCGCAAGAATTCAAAACGATTAAAGAAATTAATACTTATTACTCTCACTAACAGTAAAATATAGCGACTTATCTTAAATTAGTCAAACTAATTAAGTACACTATAGTAAAAAATAAATATTTAAAAGTAAAAACGACTATTTAATTAGTAAACAATGCTAATACTAATTCAAATAGTAAAATTTTTACTATTTCATTTCAAGAGAGTACCATATTTGGTAAATTATAATTATATATATATATATATATATATATATATATATATATATATATATATAATATAAATAGTTTAAATAAACTTAAATTGACTTAAGAGTTAAAAAGAAGTTAAAAAAGGGTATACCCTTTATTTTATAAAATAAACCAAAACCTATCCAATATTAACTTCTTTTTAACCAAAGTTAACCAAGAAGTGAAGTTTAACTATCATAAGGTTAATTTCACCATAATTAAATTCCCCACTTATTACAAAATAACGTTAATTTAACCAGGGGTGCTACTTGGGTAGTAAGTATTTAAAAAATGTAAAACAGCTTTAATTCCCTGTAGTTTTATGTAAGGCATTACACCGCGTTATTACAAAGGATGCCGATGTTTTATAAAATAATAAAAACAGTAAAGAATATTCGGTGCTTTACCGTTCTCATAATTGTATATAGTTTATTTGCTTTAATTTTTGGAAAAATAAACCATTTGGTAACAATTTTTTTAAGTTGGTTGGGGACAATGCGCCTATTTTTTTGTGGCGCCTAAGGCAATTGCCTTGCCTGCCTAATGGGCAATATGGCCCTGCATAGAAAGGATGTTTTTCTGCAATACTGTGTGAGAATATTCCTACTCTTGTTTAAGAATGGTCACAAGTAACGACATCTCATGGCTGTTTACTAAACGTAAAAAATTTAAAAATATTTAAATATTACTGTATTATTTATTAATTAAAAAATAATAGCAGTTGTATAATTAAGGCTTAAGCACAAAAAATTAGTTATATTTATTGTTTTTCAAATATACAAATCAAAATTATAATAAATTTGATATTAAAATGATAAACCAGTTACCTACTATACCGGCTTTGAAGTTTTGACAGATTCAAAAAGTTTAAAAAAAGACCTTTAAAATGTAGAAAAAGAATAGATGTTGACATAGATTACTTGTAAAATTAGTTTTGTATTTGTTACAATGTTATTTTTTTTATTAGTTAGTGTAAATAACTATTTTTAATTATAATAAAGATTTAGGCATACCATTTGTTTAAATTTATTATAATTTACATTATAAAATTGTGACGGCACAAAATGGTTTGACAATACAAAAAACTTAAATGTCAAAAACTGCTTGGTTTCTTTTCTCTGTTTAAAATTATATAAGCGTTACTATTCTTACGTAGTCGTAAAGAAAATAATGTCTAAAACACGTTTGGAATAGCATATTCCACTCTCGTAAAACCGTCACACTCGCCTTCGGCTCGTGTGTCAAATTTTTCCTCGAGCGGAATATGCTGTATTCCAAACTTGTTACAGAATGTACTATTATGATTAATGGGCCTTTGTGAATACTCATTTAATAAAAGCATGTTTATTTTCTTACAATAAACTAAAGCAATAATTATTATAACTAAAATACTGTATTTTAGATCATACATCAGATCATACGAACGCCTCAATGACTAAAAAGGGGGGTGATATTATGGGTTCATTGGTAACAAGTGCAAGTCCATTTCTATTTCCATGTACCATAGAGTACAGCCTCATTTGTGCTGTGATTTTATTTGAGATGTGGAAAAAGGTGAAAACTGTAAAAATAAAAAACAAACAGAACAAAGAACATGACAAAAATGCTACGTCAGTCCATAAAGATGAAAAAATCACTCAGCATTATAACTTTTGTAAGTAGAAAATATTGAGTTTAGAAACTGGCATTACGTGAATTTACCTTTAATTTTAGCTCCATTAAATAACAACCCGAACAATTCGAATCATTACATCATAGATTGTTCTAATACCTATAGAGGACTTTTTGCTGGAATAATGGTCATAGTCCTTACAATTATTTCGCTGATGTTTTTTGTTCTTGCTAAAGAAGGTGGAACTTCAGAAATCAAAAAGGTTGCCGAATTTGAAGTCAGTATTGTAGAATTAATATTGTATATCATAACTACTATAGTTGTTGTTGTGGCTATGTTTCAAATGAGGGCACTAAAATATGATAAAAAAATTGGAGGTAAGGTAGTTGTTTGCATTAAATACAGGGTTTAACAGATACATTTTCCTTTTTAAAGTTGTTGAAAACATACATATTTAAGAATTTGTTCTTATTATATATTTTTCGATAAGGTTCTAGAATTTAAATATTTTTAGAAGTGCAAGAAGAAGGCATAGTATTACATTCGAGATAATGCGCGTTATTCACTAGCTTGCCTTTATCTCGTGTTATAGTACACTATTTTTTGGCATACATAAATAAAATGCACAACAAATAATGTTATAACATATATGGTTAACAACATTAACCCATGGACGGTCACGCCTATAAAATTTACACAAACGATCACTCGGCTCATTTTATGTGATATGTAGAATACTTACTGCTATTGGTTTAACATTTAAAAAAAATAGTTTAATTATTATATATGTTAATTTTTAAAATTTTAATGCAATACACTACATGGTTTTGGTTGAATATTTAATGTAAGTCAACAATAAAAAATACATGGTAAAAAACATTATTTAGTGTTTTTCAGTTATATTAAGAAATAATTTAATGGAACATGGATTAGAAAAAACGTGTATTTTTAAGGTTTTATAGTACTTCTAAATGCTTCGGAGACTTGATGCAAATATTTTCGTCTGATCCAACTGTGTTTCTTTAAAAGCAGAAACGAGAGATACTTATCAAATATATTCAACGTCTTCTTGTAATAATTTAACGGTAGATCATTATCATCAATGTTATTAATAAAAAAAATCTGCAATAATCCAGATAAGTGAAATATTTACTTTTGGATTGAATTCGGAAGTGAGAATTTTCTTCATTTCCATACCTACAATGCTGGAAAGCAACAATACCATTGGTGGTAAATGAAGCCCTGTCTAAGGACTCTTCTAAGAACACAATTAATTTGTGAAAAAACTTTGTCTTCATCACTATTTTCCAAGGTTTGCATGAATTGTGACTCTAATGGCCTAATTTTATTTTTCTCATGCAAAAATATTTACCAATCATGAAATATTTTAAGAAATGTATTTTTTTTTTTACTTTTTTGTAACCCCATTCGTCAACATACTGTAGATATCAATAATACATTTTGGTTTTAGCACAATTTTTTTTCTGTTAGGTTTTTAATATTTTTAACACATTTATAAATACCAGCACTGCTGCAGGATTTTACAAGGATGCTTCGGATTTTTCTTTTTTCTTCTTACATTTTGGAAGTTGCTAGTTTTTTATTTAAGAATATATTATTCATTTTTTATTACATTGTTTTAACTTAAAAATATATATATTAGAAACATTTTAGTTAAATAATTATCTAACTAAAATGTTATTATTATTATTATTATTATAGTTTGAATCTTGGAAAAAACCTTTATAAAGGTAAATCTATCAGTTATGTGGTTTAAGGAACAAATCACCGTCCCGAAGCCTTATTTCTAAATTTCTAATGAATTTTAAATAAACGGACAAAAATTTATAAAAAATCGAAAAAAAATCGACTTGGAGTTTCCTTCATTATCGGTTTTCGAACCATCGGAATTTAATTAAAAGGGATTCACTGTCAACAAAGACAAATTTATCAATTTCATTTATACATTTTTAAATGTATAATTTTCAATAAACGGACAAAAATGTACGAAAATGTCGAAAAAAAATGGACTTGGAGTTTCCTCCGTTATCGGTTTTCGAACCATCGGAATTTAATAAAAAGCGATTCACTGTCAACAAAGAAAAAATTATCAATTTCATTGTATAAACTTATAAACATATACTCGTAGCACCTACTGGTAAATATTTTTATTGCCCTTTTGATGGGCGAAATGATTTTGGTCGATTATATTCAGTGTCGAGGTAGAAAGCCGGTAAATTTAATTTTTTATAAATAGTTTTGGGATATTATTTCTTATCAACGTCAAAACTAAAGTTGGATGAAAAAAAATTTGATCCTCTATACTGTATACTTTTCAGTCCGATCTACCTCTAAAAAATATTTCACATTTTTATAGTCATTGTGACTATTATTTAGGCAAACTAAAGGTAAATGTTACTCTCAGCAGTAAAGTTTCGCTTAAAGAGAGCAATAGCGATGGCAGTGCAGTGTGACAAAATAGAAATGTGACAAAAAAATCCATTTTCAAATTAACATAATAAATTCACATAAAACATTAATTAATTAAAAAAAAATTGGTTTACTTTACATGATAAAAAAATATACTGCAAATACTTACCGAGTAAATGTCGTGACGAAAGATTAACCTTTAAAAACACGCTGCTTTTTTGTAACGCGCAAAATAACTATATATCGCTATAGCGATACCATTGCCTACAGCCGCGCCATCTCGTGCCACAGTAATAAACAGCATGGATTACAGAGTTCTTTCATGTGTAGGGCTGAACTTCAGTGTATTTTATAATAAATCTGTTTATATTTAGTCGGTTTGTGACAAAGTAGACATTAAATATAAAGACAAGGTTTGGTCACGCTTAAAAAATTATTTACAGACATTTTATTAGTACTATGGAGCTACTTATTTGTTATTTCATTTTAGTTTTAGAATTCTGTTTTATTCAAAACCTATAATGACCCGTATATATATAATATAATAAAAAAATGTTAATTATGTAAACCTGATTATAATTATACCATTTCGAGAAGCGCGGTGCAGTAAACCTTTGTAAATCTATTTAATTTATTAAATTTTAATCGGACAATAAGTGACCTGGCATTTTTTTAATCGTTTTCAGTCTCCACTGCTTCCCTTTGGCGACGCTTTTGCTATTTGAGCTTTTTTTACTTATTCATATAACTGATGAATTTTTTTTACTGTCAGTGCGTCGCGACGCTAGTGCTTTGCATTTTTGACGTGTGATAACCTACAATAAGCAAACTAGAAAGGTTTACTCAAATATAACAAAATTTATCTCCCATTACGTGTACCTATGCCTTTTTTAGTAATCCAAAAGTAACATGAAAATGTTTAAGATTATGCCCAGCTCCTACTGAATTTTAATTTCGGCATAATCTAAAAAAATTTCGTGTTGCATAAAAAACAATATCGCTTTTTTTAATGTTCATGTAAATGTTTGTTTTTTTTCTACTCCCACCTTTAAAACCCCCTTTATTGTACATGTTTCCATGATACTAAGTGACCTTTTAAATACACATTGATAAGTTGTGGCTTTATGGCGCTTTAGTCACGGGCTGAAGTTAGTTTTAAGTTAGTTGACAGTTGTCAAATGTCATACAATCGTTAAAATAAAGTGCCTTTCTTGTAAAAAAAACCTAAATGTGAAAATTATTTTATTATCTCAATACAAAAATACAAAAGTATTAAATAGTTTCTCAACGCCAATATTTGAAAAGTTTATATGAACATTGTACTGACCTTTTAATTTCGCCGGCAGTAAACTATAACTTAAATTCGGACACGGACTCCACTGTAAAGTGCTCATAAAACATTTTCTTTACTTTCACTGTAAAAAACTGTCAATTTTCAAGAAATACATTTCGATTTATAACCTTTATAATCTGTGTTTATAAAATTAAAAAAAAATGACATTTGACGGTGACACACAGATTCCCCTATTGTTTCATAGATGGCGCTCTATACAAATTTTTGATTTAAATCATTTTAAGATAATAATAAGTATTTGTCGTAGAAGAAGTATAGTATGCACCTCGTTTATAAACTTTTCTGTACACTCATTAATTTAAGGACTCGCTCGCAAGCTCGCTCGTGCCTAAATTAAATTCGTGTATAAAATGGCGTTTATCAAACTTGATACATAATATACTATTATAATATTATAATAATGTGTATATTTTTTATAAAATAATACAATTTTTTAGTGGATGGTCGATTTGGTATAGGCCTAGATAACACACTTTTACTAGTGGCACAAACCGGAATGTTTATATACTGCATGTTTTCAATAATTGGATACTACTTTAACATGGACAACAGCCCACCTATTGAATTGCTAGCCGAAATCTTTTCATTTATCCAAACCTGCCTGCAAACAATGTTTGTATTGGACGGCTGGTCGAGAAAATGTCGAAACATGAAGCAGGCAAAAAATAAACCTGGAAGGGAATTGATAACGTTTTTAATTGTTGCCAATATGGCAATGTGGATAATAAACACTCTAGAGAAAAATAGAGCGGAGTTTAGACAGATACACTTAAAGTTTTTTGGAGACTGGACATGGACCATTATCACTCATATTACGATGCCTTTGGCTATATTTTATAGATTTCATTCAACGATATGTTTGGTTGAAATATGGAGGTCTGCATATCAATTTAAAGCCACTCAAAGAAATTCTTTATTTTCTTTAATTTAGCTTTCTTTTTCTTTTAAGAAATTAAATAAACCTACTCGTACTAAAGAATAATACTACCATTTAGAGTCTCTAATAATATGTATATAATATTGTTTTTATATAGGCATTATTAATATTAAAATAAATAAAACACTATATATATTATATACACAAATTTGAATAAATATATTTATATTTAGTATAAGTAGTATAGGTTAATTAATTTTTATATAAAGAAAAAAACCTTAATTAAAATTATATAAATTGTTTTTAATGTTTTATGTACAATAAAGTGTTTTACATATATACGTGCATAAACTTCGTTTTATTGCTTAATACTAATAACCTAAGCGATCACTAAAGCTCACCCAAGATACTTATGCACATATGTTCATGTAGTAAGAAGTTGAAGATAAAGAGCTGGTGATAAACTAGTAGTTTTGTACCTTTAAAGTTTTTAAATATACTTATATTTTGACTTAATAAAACCTAAGTAGGGCCCCAGTTTTTTGTACCAGGGCCCAGCTACGCCTCTACTCGTTACATAAAATTTTCGCTTTCGTTAAATGGCGTTTATAAAACTTTATACATAATAAAATATTATTAACTTATTGCCAAACCAATTATTTAATATTTATTAATATCCTAACAAAATTCTTGCTGTAAGATCTAATCTAACCTCACTTTCTACTTTTAATAATTATTAAAATTGTACAAATAAAATTTTACCTTGGAGATAAAATTTTGTATGCCATACAGCTGAGAGGTGACTTTTTGTGCTTCGCTAAAATTGTAGGCCTTCGCTACGCGTCGGCATTCAAACTTTCAGCTCAGCACAAAAAAACAACTTCTCAGCCTTATGAGTTTTAAGTTATGAAATAAATAAAAATTAATTAAATGCTTAAAAAAAGTAGAAAAAAATAGTATACCTACTTGTAAACCCCGCCGTTAAAAGCTTATTGACTCTCACACAATCTGGTCTATATTGTATTATTATTTACTTATTTTTGTGCCAGGTAAAATATACGCGTGACCATAAAATAATGGTGATAATTGACAAATAAATAGTTGTCATAACAAAAATACATATTTTTGTTTTATATTAACACTTTCATTGTTTGTAAAGTTTTTACATTTTATTGTATAAAACTTTGTAATAATAGCTTATGTAGTTGTGAAAAAAGGATTTTATAGTATGGAACTTCGAAACTCAAGGTATGTAATATTCCAAAAACATTTCTGATAATTAGAATAAATAATAAAATAAAAACATTTTTTGTTAATATAGTGCAACAACTACCAACATAATATATATTCCATATATTATATACCAATCTTATAGTATTTACATAATTTTAAATATTTTGGTGTGTCATTGGTGTACGAGTTTTTCGTAATGGGTATTAACTTTATACCTTTTAATTGCTATAAATACATTTTAAACAAAATTAAAGTAAACCCCAAATAATTAAATGTATGTTATTTAGAATATAAAAACATTGTTTGATAAATTATTTAAAATTAATATAGTAGAGACTTAACAACTAATAGTAAATTTAAAAAAATATATATATATAAGCATAAAAAAGCCCTGGAATACACTTTTTTGAAAATTGTTTGCAATAAAACATTAAACCAAAAAAAAATAGATTAAATCGACATTAAAGTACTTAATTTATGTATATATGCATTTTGCCAGACAATCCTAGTTTTCAGTCATAAACCTAATTTACTGGCCTGGTTTACACCACAAATTTGATTTGTGTCCAAATGAAATGGGTTAGGTCGATTTGTGGAATTATTGGTCCACGCATGTGAACGATTTTATGTCTGTTGTTCAACAAATTAGAAAATTACCCATTTCGATTTGACATTAAATAATAAATCGTCATTAGGGGTCGTCCATAAAGTACGTCAAACATTTAGGGGGAGGGGGCTTACGGTTTGTGGTGAAGTGTGACATTGGGGGGTTCAGATCGTCACAACAAACTTCAAAATATTATTGTTGCAAATTTAAAAATATTGATGTGATTTTTATTTTTTAATAAATAATAATAAAAAATGTAATATATCTGTAATAAAAATACTACATAATATGCTCTACTAAAAATTGTTTAAAGTAATTACATTTCGAAAAAACAGAAAATTTAAAAAATGTGAGGTAGTTGCTGTTGAAATATACATATAAAATTTATAATAAAACTTTGTAGGCTGCATCACTCATTACCAGCCTTGGATATTTCTTCTGTCCCAGAAGTACATTATAGACCAAAATATATAACTATAAGAAAAAAACGTCGGGGAGAGTAAGTGAATCCAAATTTTGTTTTATGACTTTATATGTTTTATGTGCCCTAGTTGATTTATTTATTTAGTTTTAAGTTATTAAGTCAAGTAAAAAAATATTTCCAGAAGAAAAAACAAAATACCATCAGTTTTATCATTTCCCTGTTGAAAACCAAAACAAACAAACCAACCAACCATTTATCCACAACTTTATCCATCAGACAATAGTGTTTTATGGTAATTAATAGTTTACTATTTAGGTTTAAATTTACATTAATATTGAATGTGAATAACATTTTTTGGCATTGTCATTTTTTCAAAAACGATCTCATGTACTTGAAGGGTTGTCTTAAGCATTGCATATTTAGTCCACATTTAGGAAAAAGCATCATCCTTTTTTGCTTCCGTGCCTCTTTTAAGATTAAAATCTTCTCTATTTTTAAAATTTTTCCAAATTCTTTCTCGTATGAAGCTTTGACTTCCTTGGCAGCAACTATAAACACGCTTTTATATCTGAAGGAATATAATCTCTTTTGACTTCATCAATGATTGATACTTTGGATGTTTTTGACAATTTATTTACTGATTTATTATTTGTAATCTTATGACTTGCTAGCTAAGCTTTTTGTGACATGCAAGGTACCGCAAAATTACAATTTTGTGTTAGTGATTTACATAATTACCCACAGTAAATTGTGTATAGTCGTCTCGGCGAATGTTTCAAATTGCGACATCAATGTCGAATGTCAAAAACCGTTTCTGGACATGCGGTTCCTTGGATTATATACGTAAAAGAAAACAACAATAATTGTAATGTCTGTGCTTGATTCAGAATTTGATGACGCAATTTGAAACATTCGCCAAGACAACTATATTGAACTTGTGGATTAACCTCGGGATTAACAAGCAATAAAACACTTGGAAGAATAACACACGCACATAAATAGTATATTGTGCACATAGTGGCAGAAAGGGAGCATTTCTCGAGAAAGGAGTTTGCCACAAAACGTAGCGAGTGGGGTAACACGCGAGTGGAATCTCCTCTGTTGACCATTAGTCGCACGCAATATTTTATTCAACAACCACAAGGAATTTAAAGCCAATTTTATTTGATAATTTATTTTAAATCTGATAGCTGCCATTTGGTTTTAACCTCACTTTTTTCAAAATTAAACTTAAAGCTAACTTTAGCCCGTGGGCGAAATGCTATTTGGCTCACTAGTGAGAAAAGAAAAATTTCGACCACCGCGGTTCAAGTTAAGAAATTAAATTGGTGTTGAATAAAAAACTATTGTGAAACTATCAATAATTTCATTATAACACAAGGGTGTCTTAAAAGTCAACGGTATCCGAATATTAAAACATGACCCCAGTAAAAAATCGTCAGTTTTTAAGATAATGTCATTTTTATAAATTTTTTGAAACTTGACACCTAAGATAGAGTTTTTGAGTGCCACAGCTATAAAATTCCATATTCTTAGATAATTTAGAGTGAGAGTTATAGTATTTTTTACTTTTGAAAACCGATTTTTTTTATCAATTTTATAAGATGACGAGCTCGTTGCAAAAACCCAAAGCTTCTTTAGCGTAAATGTTATTGTGGATAATATTCTGTCAATTTTTAATTATTTCTATTTTCGTGTATCGAGAACTTTAAGAAGAACTTTCATTTGCAGTCGTTTAGGTTGTATATTACAAAATTCTAACGCGGAATACATCATTACCCTAGTAGAAATTTAAATGGGGAACTAGTAGGGCGCTAGTTAGTTTTCCCCAAATGAAACGAGGGCCTCGCTAGGAAACCCTACTAGTTTCTGACTAGTCATGTAATGCTTTTCCTGGTGGGGAACTACTGGGGAAAAGCTGGTAGGGAAAACTAGCTTAAAACTAGTTGGGAATATTTGTGAATTTTTTAACCAATAATAAATGCCAGTAGCAAAATTTTTTTTATTAGATTTAAATATATTTACATTTTCACTTTTTTTCTTTTTTTTTCGGTTCTGCCCCCACTCTAGTCTTTGGAAGCTTAAAGCTTTTTCGAACTCTTTTGCCGTAAGCCTTTGTTTATCCGGTAGTTTTTGTCCATCAATGAAATCTAAAATGTTACGGCAGTAATTAATAATTATTCAAAAATGTTGGGTTGTAGTCCACATTTCATTTTGCATTCAATCGAAATCAAATAAAATTTTAAGGGAAGTTACCTGAATATTTGCGTTAAATTTAATGATATTTAAAGGCAATACATTTTTATTGGACTGTATCTAAACGCATTATTTTCGACTATTAAACTGGACTAGTGTTAAGTGATAAATGTATCGTACTTTTTATACTATTTGCGAAATGTAAATAGTGTCTGTATTTCCTGTTTCACATGAATTACTTTACACATGTCGTCACTTAAGGGTGGAATTGTATCTAATGCCAGTGGATCCTGGGGGGGTGTTTGAAGGGACAATATTATTAAAATTTGGTGACTCACCTGAAATATCCCATAAAACTTTAGAACTTTTGGTTGGGATAAATTTAAGCACAATACTGTAATTAAATGAGACTAATGCTAGTCTAGAAAGGACAGGCATACGACGTCTAAAATAACTAACCTTTAATACGGAAGGATTTGAAGGTACCTCCGTACGAAATAATAGGTTCTTGATCTGCCGCCATTTTAGCGGCTTTGAATTTGCGTCTTGTCTCCCTTAATTTACGTCGTAAATTATCCTTTTCCTCTTCAGAGCTGCTTGAGGAAGTAGTAACGGGCGAGTGTCCAAGCCTTTTGCCCATTTTCTTGATAAATCTAGCACAATTTTTCTAAAAACTTAAGTATTGATTCAACAAACGTGGTTACCATAAAGCACAAAAAAGAATGACATAACTTATGTCACATAAGCAGGTCTACCAACATCGTTATAAGCAGGTCTACCAACTTCGATAGGTAGGTATTAAAAATTTATTTATTATCTGTAAAATAGTGGTGCCATCTAGTGAAACGGGACGCAAATATAATAAAAGTTATTTGAAATATTAACAAATTGTGTTTGTCCATTTGATTGCTACAGGCATGTTAAATATACACCCTCATCTTAAATCTCAACCAAAAAATCTTAATCTTAAATTTTTTCCCAGTTTAACTTAAGTTAAAGGTGTTTAATTAAACAACTTTTATCTTTGAAACAAAGAAGCATCTCAAAAACATAATTCCTTAAATTTTTGTCCGAGAGAAGCCTTGTAAATCAAATATATTTCAATTGTAAAACGTTTAATACAATCCATTCTAAGAGTAAGAATGACAATAATTATTATAACAATTATTGTCATTATGTTCTAATTATATCGATCGATATGAATGGAATGTTAAGATTGATCTTAAAGATTTTCCATACATTTACTCACAAGTTTATGGCAAAGAAAACTTGACTCAGCCTAGACTGGGATTTAATGAGGGAAACTAGATGTGAACTAGTCAGTCGGAGCCGAGCCACAACTAGGCAAGTTTTACTGGTTAGTTCCTAGTCGGGGCCGATCTAGGATTTTCCTTTCTAGTTTTTCCCTATCTAAATCCAACCAGCGCCCTACCAGTAGTGAGGAAAACTGGACAAATTTCTACTAGGGTATAGGTCTTAATGTTGGTATACCTTCGAGAGAAGTTAACTAGCTCTGATGAAGTTAAATTCACCTTAACAAGATATCCTAAGCGAGCGCCGCACTCTGTCAAAAAAGGTTTGAAGTGACCTACAAAATTGTACATAGAGGTTTTTGGGGCCGCTGATTACGATTTTGATATAGATAAAAGTGTTTTAGGAGTCGCCGCACTATGTCGTAAACAGAGTGATTAGGTGACCAAAAATATTTTTGTTGAAAAACATATTGAAAATGCTTTTTTGTTATACAAAAAGATCATTTTTAATAAATTTAACCATTAGTTAGGATTAAAAGAAGCTAAGTACAGGGTGAACCACGTAAGATAACCCATATGCCTATCTCAGAAACAACTGTAGTCATGAAAAATTTGTAGGGAACAAAAATATTTAAATTAATACATATTTTTTAATGTTGTAATTTAATTTATACAGGGTGTTCAATTTTTTCTGGGACGATACCAATTTTATTATTTTCGATTTTTAGAACTTTTTATTCTACGTACTTTTTTATGTTTTTAATGGCCTTTTGCAGAGCTAAAAGGGATTCCGCACTTGTACTCTTATCCTGTTAAAGTTTTCTGTTTAGATACCTCATCTGCCAATCATTTTTCTCAAATCCGTTAGATTGCTAAATTTGGCTATTTGAAATGGATGTTGTTAGCAAGAAAGTTAAGAAGTTATTTTTATAGCCACATGGCTATCGTTTCTTAAATATTATTATAGGCTCAGGGGAGCTCTGGCCCTTGTACTGCGACCTTTAGGTCTATTATACCCTGTGTCTCGGGTTTTTAGAATCGAGGGATATTTTATCCCTATAAGTGTGCAACTGTTCAGGCTCCATTATTATAGGGCCTGTAGTAATTTGTCTTTTTCTGAATTGGGCTTTCTTCTGGTTTAGGATACTCCGATTTTGTTCAAATTATATATTATTATACCCCTTAAGCGTGTTTTGAATAAGGTCATAATTTCTTCCGCATTGTTTTCAATATTGAGTTTTTTGGAGTGTATTAGACCAGGACGGTCATTCGTTGAATATTTTTAAATATATATATATATATATATATATATATATATATATATTTATATAGAATGAGTTATTTTAGAAAAACTAAAGACAAAAGTAAAAAAATATATATTCGAGTATTTGCGTCAAAGCAACATGACATTTTTTTTTCAAATGACCAAATTAGTTTTAAATTAATATATATTTATTATTTTTATGTTTTTAATTAATTTTAAGGCGCCAGATTTAAAAAAAAACTCGAAAAAGTTTTAAAAATGAGCTCTAATACACATTTTTTGACATAAAATCAAGTGTAGCCAAGTTTCTCAACATTTCCCGTCAAAATCCTTAATAACGACCATTATTCATATATTAACAAACACTTCCACACACAAAAGAAATTGGGGCAACCTGGGGCACCATTACTATTTGCAAAAAGTTTACTTGAATGCACGTTAAAAAAATGACAAAATTCGGACGGCTATTATATAAAATAAAATATTTTTTTAATTTTTAACGTTATACCTTAAAAGACATTTATATTAAAGCAATCTACCCAATATAACTCCTGTTAATTATAATTTATTGTTTTAATCGCATATTTATCAAGCGCGAGTTATTTATATAAAAAATGTGTTTGTGCATTGTTTTAAAATTTTATTCGTCACGGTCCTTATTAATATTTTATAAATAAACAAATGGTTGTACATTGTCAAGAAAAGCATAAGGATCAATTTTATGTATATTTTTTTGCTGTAAGGGCAACTTCAGAAATCGACTTTTGGTCACCTATACAGGTCAAATACGACACAGAGCGCCGATAAAAATTCTTGTATTCGATTTTAAAAATTTAAAATGGCGAATATTATAATTTTTTAATTGAACTTGGAATCCAAAATAATAACAGGAAAGAATATGTTTTGCTATTTTTTTTATGAAAAATATTATTTTTATATCATTTTAATTCAAGTTTACGATAAAAAATAACCAGGCCATACCAAAAGCTAAATAATAAATAAACTTAAGCAAACAAAACATTTATTCAAAAATATATTCAAATTATTATTAAATATTGTACTTACCACATTTATAATTTCCCTCTTAGTGATGCCCTTGGACATATATTGTCTGCTTTTTACGCAAAACTGATAGTAATTTTGGGAGTTGCGTTGCCTATAACAGACGCTATTAAATTGAAGGGGTACGATGTTTACGAGGTAAGAAATTACTTATTTTACAATAAAATAAAATTGCAAGTCTATTTTAAAGGGGTTTTATATGTATCTTTACATATTAAGCATAATATTCTTGGGCTATATGTATTTTATACAAATGAAAAAACGCCCATTAGCGGATACAAAAAGGATTACATTGGGATTTAATGCCAGTAGAATTGGACCATTTTCAGGTTCTACCGACTCCTTAAATGGTTTTACCAAGAAAAATCATTACATTCGATATGGAAGTTTTTATTTTAGGATGGGAGTTACAGGTTGGTATATTAAATCATTTGGTTTTTTTACAAATTATTTTATTATCTCAATACAAAAATACAAAATTTTTAAATAGTTTCTTGACGCTAATCTTTTAAAAGTTCATATCCACCATTCTTGTTTATTATGTGGTCCACAATTGTATGGAGAAAATAAACTGTTCAATCTTGCCTTAACATTGTATGTAATTTTGTACCATATTTGAATACTCTAGGTTGTCATTTACAAGTCGCCCAGAGGGTAAGTATCTCAAACCGCCGTCGCACTGTGTTTTTTGCCTTAAAATTCTGCCAAAATACGAAACATGAAAATAGGGAAAATAATGTATGAATTATATAATAGTCCTTACCGGAGTCAAAATTAAGATCGTAATTTATACGTAACAAGTCTGAACAATTTCCGTCTTGAGCGGTTTTATTTAACCAAAACCATGACAGATAAGTACCTAAAATCATTTTTATACTTAGAAAACCCAAAATGAGAGAAATTTACGATTTAATGCACTGAAAAAAATAAGCTGTTGAAACAACAAACAATTTAAATTTTTAAAATAAATGGACGAGTTCTATACATTCATTATTTGAAGTAAAATTAAAAAATGGAATTTATCAATGGTAAAATTTTATTTTTGAAATAAAATGATTTACGTAAATTGTTTATAATCCGACCATAAATTTTATTAGAGGTTTAAATCGGCTCAAATGAAGATTAATTCGGTTGTTCTAGTGCTAAATTGGAGTTAACAGGCTGAACAGGTTTTAAATCAGTTTTCGTAGGTCAAAGTAGGTTTAAATTACGATCTAAATTTTGACTCGGGAGTCTTATTCAAAAATACAACCAGTCACTAACCATTGGTTAGTGACCAAGGACTAAGAACAGATGTAGTTTATTTTTCGCCTGGTCGCAAATACGTTTAATGGGGTTGGGACGTGATCTCAAAATTGTAAAACAATTGTTTTTTTAAGTTTCATTATAAAGATAAGTCAATAAAAACAATCATACCGTTTAAAAAAACAATTTTTGCCATACATTTTCTTTAAAAAAAATTCACTCGGAAATGTGACTTTACGATGTTATAGTACCTATAAATGCCATATTGGAATTATAATATAATATTTGTAGGTATTCCAAATTCTTTCACAATTATAATCATTTTACCTGTTATAAAACCACTAACAGCGTATACTTATACATTTAGTTTAAAGTTAATAAAATTATTTTTAAAATTAAAAACTTTACCTCTCTCAATTTTCAAACGATTTTAATACGAGAAGTGTTCAGAAAATATCGGAAATTTTCGTTTTTTTAAAACAAATATTTATTTATTCGTCTAAATTAATGTTGTCGCCTTCAAAATAGTCCCCATGCACATGTGCCAGCTCTTCTTCCAATACTCGAAACACTTCTAAAACTCGATCTTTGGGATAGCCTTTAGTTCTTTCAGCGATGCGCTTTTAATGTCATCCATTCTTGCAAAACGACGGCCCCTTAAGGTTCTCTTTATTTTTGGGAATAAGAAAAAGTCAGGCAGAGGCATGTCTGGCAAATATGGAGGCTGGGGCATCATTACAGTATTGTTTTTGGCCAAAAATTTTGTTCAAAATTTAACAATTTTGAGATGAGCCAATCGATATACCAACATCATCAGCGACTTCTCTGATGGTTTATAACCATTTCTTCCACTTTTTCCATGTTTTTATCGGTTTTTATCGGTTGTTAATATGCTTGGGCGTTCGGGGCGTTCGGGGCGTTCGTCATCTTCAACGTCTTCACGGCCATCTTGGAAACTCTTATACCACTTGTAAACTCTTGTTTTACTTATAGCAGGCCTTTGTTAATATTTCACAGAATTAATTTCATTTTTTAAGCAAAATTGGATACAAATTCTTTGAGACATTTCTTTTAACGAACGAAAATCGCCGAGCTCATAAAAACACGTCTAACCTTAACGGCTGCCACAGACAAAGTAAAGAATGAAAACAGCTAAAGTTTTTATCATACTTCGGGGGCATGTATACCAACATAATAAAGAAAATTTTATGACAACCGGACCCTCCGAACCCGCGAAATTTAACAATAATAACAAAAATAAACGTATGATACAATTTTATGATAACTAACTTGTATGCATAGACTCAAATATTGAATTAAAAAAAATTGCATGTCCCAATCCCATAATAAGCGACCTATAAATGTTATCCGATTGCAAAAAAAATGTGTGTACCTACTACCCATTTATGTACGTATATTTTTGGACAACTTGTAGGTACATCATATTGATAATTTGGTGTCATTATTTAAATTTCGGAGGGGTTTTGAACCTCTTAAACACCCCCTGGATCCGCCTATTTATATATATAGATCAGAACTAAATTGAATATTTTCGACGTTTAATTTTGGCCTCTAAAACGCAATAATGTCATTGCTTCATATGTACAATAAAATTTATATAAGGTAAACTATCCCGAGACAATCATATAGTCTGCGATCTAACAAACCTGCTAAGAGAAATTTTGTTAGGTTTTTAACGCAATTTATTATGCAGTTAACCAGATATAAAATTAGAGTAATTTAACATAGCAGCCATTAACTATATAAAGTTATATTAATTTTTAGGATTTGGTATTGGATCTGTTATATATTCAGGTCTTCAGTTTGGCCAGTACTGGGAACTTTCGTCCGATGGAGACTGTAATAATCTTCTCAAAGCTATCAAGCCCTTATGCAGGATTATTTTTTCTTTGATGCAAATGCTATTTATATTTTCTTTTAGTAATGTGAGTTACCTTTCAATTTTTAATATTAAAAATTTTACCCTTTATTTGCATTAGACAATATTATGTAGGTTGTGTGTAACGATTAATTTTTGATTTATAAGGTTTTTTCATTTTTGATATAGTAAAGTTTGACAAACCATTATAAATGGATTAACTATAAAAACGATTTTATTTTTCCAAACTTATTTTGAAATTCTTATTTCGTCTTTAATTTGGAAAACGCATACATAACCACGTGATTTTTATTCTTTATACGTATACGTAACGAACCAACTGAGCTGGCTATTAATCGTGCAGTGGATTAATATCGTACCACACATACTCTCATAAGACTTAATTAAATTCACAAAAGCAATGATCAATGATTATTTATTTCATGATATAAACGACATTGATCCGGACGATATTTGCACATGGTTGCAGCAGGTTACTGCATTAAGAAAAACCTTTTATTTCAAAATGGATCAGTGACCTTGCCACCGAGATCATGTGATTTGAAGGCACTCGATTACTTATTGTAGGACTATAGATGCAAAGTTTTCGGTGTATTCTTATAAATCACAAACTATTCAGTACTTGGAAACCAATATTCAGAGCGTTTTTAGTAAGATAGCCCCAATACTCAAAAGGTTGGTTTAAAATAGGACCTTTGAAATGAAATCCAAAGTATTTTCCAAATTTGATACAAAAAGCGGCGATGATAATTTTTTATCTTATGCCAAATATATTAATGTTAACAGCATGATCATTTTCAATCAAAACAATCAAAACTAAGCCTAGTATAAAACGCCGTACAGTTGAACCTTTTTTACATTTTTAGACCTAGAAACTAAATTATAAGTCTAAAAGTTATATGGTAGTACTTTACTAAGCGAAATAATTAAAAAAAGAGTTGGTCTTATTTTAATTGGAAATTTTAAAACTCGAAATTAATAGAAATTAGGGGTTTAAGATTTTTATTGAATTTTATAATTATTTTTGTTACATCGAGAAAACGAGATCGATTTTTATTTTATTAATTATTTTCGTTATTTTTAGTTTATAGATGTTCAAAATTCCAAATCCATAGCACGATTCGGCCTTATGCATATGATAGCAACAAACCTATGCGAATGGTTATATGTTTTGGTTCAAGAAACTCAACAAGATATCTACGTGTCAGCTAATAGATACCGAGCCAACAAAACTATTTCAGCAGTGGATATGCAGTTTATTAACTCAAACGCTTTTAAAGTCACCAGAGCATATTACGAACACAAGTATTCTTGCCTGAAGTCCAAAATAATGGAAAAAATTTTGGTTAAAGTTATACCATATTTAGCTCCTTGTACAGTTGAGTACAGCTTATTATGTGCAGTTATTTTAGGATTGATGTGGAAAAATACCTGTGCTCCACATAAAACAGGTAGATTTTTAGATAGGTACTTTCTGTAATTATGTAAAAGCCACTAAAAATCTCGTAAACACAATAAAAAACAATGCTATTGGCAACATTGGCTTACTGCTACTGCTACTCCTACTTTTTCGAACTATAAATCCGGCTTAACAAGTTCGGAATACGGCATAAATTGAACAAAAAAAGCATTTTAAAATAATAAACCCACAAAATGATGATATTTTAGATTTTATATTGGTATGTATATAACAGCAAGAATATGGCAACGTTATACTGCTACACAGAGAAAAGTAATCTCTTGATTTTACTATATCTGTCTTGACTCAAATAAATTATTTATTTCGATATGATACAAGAAGATATTTATTTAGTGGAAAACTTGGGTTTATTTGACTTTTTAAACTGATGGTTTGTTTAATACAAGTAAATATTTAGTTGACTTTTTATCTCAGGTTTAGTAGAATCTTACTTAAAGAAACAAAACATTTACTTGAAGTAAGTAATTCATTTTTTTAAATTAAATAAATAGTATTAAATAAAAAAAATATTTACTTACATGAAGAAAACAATTTATTTCAGACAAATAATTAGTACCTTTTAATATTATAATTTCACGAAATATATAGTGATTGAACCAAACAAATGTTTGCTTGTTTTAATACTATGATTTATTTATTTTAATGTTGTTAATTACTTGATATTTGGTCGGGAAAATTAAATTAAAAAACGTTTATTTCAATATGTTTTATTTGAACAAAACAAGGGTACACTTGTTTTGTTGTAAATACGTATTTACAATAAACATTAAAAACACACAATATAAAATTAACAATAAACAAAACATTTAATATATGAGCGGACAAAAATAGGAACAAAAAATACTTCAGTCACTGAAGTTCAGTGTAAATATTAATGCACGGCATTAATAAAATACACCAAGTCTGTGGGTATAAGTCAAAACAAGCAATTTTTCAGCAGAACCTTAAACGTGTTCGCATTAATTCAGGAAATATATTTATGGGACATTTGAACATTTTCAAAAACTTAATTTATTATTATCAGATAGGTATCTTTGTTTAAAACACCTACCTAGGTAGGTACCTATAGTTTAAAAACAAATACATATAGTTTGCCAACCAAAATTACTTGCACTTGTCAAATACAAAAAGAAACGGTTTATTTTTAGTTTATGGCCAGTAAGTAAAATGTGCAATTATATTTAAAAGCAACAAGTCAAGTCTGAGACATGCATGATCCAAAATAAAATAGGTACCCATATTATCATATAACTTTATAGTTTCCAAACTACCTAGGTACACAAAATTTTAATTAACTAAATCACTTTTACTTACCAAAAAAACTAAAAAGCAAATGGGTTAAATTATTTTCTTTGAAGAATTCTTCCATACTATTAAACATAAGCACTTAAACACAAAACTATAACCGTTGATTAAACACCTCCTTCTCTTAAGTTGCGAGTTTGTTTGCAAATGCTGCCGGCTACCGGACAAGCGTCTTTGTCTTTGGAGTCAAATGCTCTAATTGGCTCCGCGAGTCACGTGGACATAAAAGCAAATAAATATGTATTTGCTTCAAGTAAATGTATTTTTGAAACAAACAAATCACGTGTTTACGTTAATTATTTGACATACATTGTATCAATTCTATTATTTTGTTAAAATAAGATATTATATGCTTGTATTAACATTTGATAAAACTAAATCCATACAACCTATATCCAAACAATTTAATTAACTGCTCTAAATAAATATTTCTTTACAATTAATCACAACAATAAGTTGTTTTCAAGAAACTCATGATTTACAACCAAATAATAGTATTTTCTTATTGTAAACAAGAAGTTACTACGAATAAGACAATTTTACTTCATACAAGAAAAACTGTTTCAAATAAATGCATTTTCTTAAATCAAGAGATTACTTTTCTCTGTGTACTGCTACTCCTACATTTTAGAACTATAAATCGAGCTTAAAGCTACAGAATTTACTATTCTCCCTTTGGGATAAAATATTTTCCTCCCTGTATATATTCTTACTACTGTCAATTTTTCATTTTTGTAAAATATTTAAGTCAGCATTACTCGACATAAAAGCCTATCGGCTTATTCGAAAACTTTCGTCGCTTGTGAAAACAATGTACCTACAATCCACACATTGTGAATGTACCTACTATTTTGAAAACAATAAAAAAATTGATATGTCTGATCTGTTATCATGGCAAATGCGTCTGTCAGGTAAAGAACTAAAAAATATCTGTATTTATATATTTTATGTTGGTAGTTCTTAAATTTGTCATATGATAGTTTGCATTATAAAAATAGCTTAAAATGCATTATGGTATGGCTATTATGGTAAATTTACAAAGACTTTCCAGACTCGTCTAATGCTCGTCAGAAGCGCTCAATTCAATAAGTTTGATTACACAGCCAGAGTTTTCAACAATTTCTATCGTAAACCACAAATATCAAACTATATACTCATCAAGTGACGTCATGCGCGCCACGAACCAAAACTCGTACACCGTAGCATCCAGCCCTGCCCTTAAGGCATTTGACTTAATTTAATATAAAGTTTAAACGTGACCGCCGTTTGACTTGAAAAACGTATGACAATTTCAATTACAATTTCAGTGAAAATTCCAATTTGAAGTTGATTAGTACCAAATTGAATTTGTTTGTTTCCAATTTGACTTCGTTTATTCCCATTTTGAACGTGTTAGTTACCAATTAAAAGTTGATTAATCCCAATTTGAAATTGTTACATTCCAAATTGAAATTGATTAGTTCCAATTTAAAGTTAAAAGGGTATAGTATTTTTTTCCCAAGTTGACTCGTTAAAATAAAGAAACATAGTCAAACAAATATTTGCAATTTACAATTTTTTGTATTTCAAGTACGTATTTTCTCCCTAAATACCGCTTGACAAGCGGCGCTTATGCCTAAAAATGAACCAGATATTTTAAATTCAAGAAGTAGTTTCTGTTATATGCTCGGTTGTTAAGTCAACAGCTCAGGGAGTAATTTGTTTTGATTTTGTTCCACTACACCAAGTTGCCCGACACTGATGAGACCCAATAAAGGTCGAAACAGCTGTCTGTCGGTATTTGAAGTTGGTGGAACGCATTCAAAACAAAAAACTTTGGCGAGGTGTAGGTTCAATTTTTTCTTATGAATATTACCAGTGATGGGTCAAGTAAGTTTCTTAAAGAAACTAAGAAAATTGAATGTTTACCTTAATTTTTAGCCCGGTTCCTTTAGGCCATATTAGTATCTGTGATACAATTGCTGTGTGCAGTCCCGGTTGCATAGTATGTACCGATTGCGGCAAAGGCCACGTCGTTTGACGGTGTGGATCACCTGATGTTCTTACATCTCGCCTCTGTTGACTTAACAACCGAGCATATAAGCTCAGGGAGTAATTTGTTTTGATTGTGTTCCACTACACCAAGTTGCCCGACACTGATGATGATAAAGGTCGAAACAGCTGTCTGTCGGTATTTGAAGTTGGTGGAACGCATTCAAAACAAAAAACTTTGGCGAGGTTTAGGTTCAATTTTTTCTTATGAATATTACCAGTGATAGGTCAAGTAAGTTTCTTAAAGAAACTAAGAAAATTGAATGTTTACCTTAATGTTTAGCCCGGTTGGGTTAATTCTAGATTCCTTTAGGCCATATTAGTATCTGTGATACAATTGCTGTGTGCAGTCCCGGTTGCATAGTATGTACCGATTGCGGCAAAGGCCACGTCGTTTGACGGTGTGGATCACCTGATGTTCTTACATCTCGCCTCTGTTGACTTAACAACCGAGCATATAAGCTCAGGGAGTAATTTGTTTTGATTGTGTTCCACTACACCAAGTTGCCCGACACTGATGAGACCCAATAAAGGTCGAAACAGCTGTCTGTCGGTATTTGAAGTTGGTGGAACGCATTCAAAACAAAAAACTTTGGCGAGGTGTAGGTTCATTTTTTTCTTATGAATATTACCAGTGATGGGTCAAGAAAGTTTCTTAAAGAACTAAGAAAATTGAATGTTTACCTTATTGTCAAGTATTTGTAAACAATACATGAAACGTACGTAAGAAGTGTCTCACAAATGTTGAATTTTTTAAATGGTCCAAATCACGGTGTATAATGAAATCCAATCACTAACTCCAACAACTAATTACTGCCTATACCTAATGATTTATTATGTGCCTATACCATATTAATCACTTAAGTTTCGAGTTTTGACGAAAATAGTTAAATTTTATTATTGGCGTACACAAATATTGGTTATTTATATCATTAGGTCAAAATATATCTTTATAACAACCGAAACAAGCCGAAAGGTCGTGGGTTCGAATCCCACCAGGGGTATGCCTGTTTATTTGTGTTTGTCCTATTGTGTATTATTCCTTCGGAGGGGACTCATCCTGTGGTCCGTTCGTACCCCTAACCCGCTCAAGCCATTCAGTTGGCTTCTGAGACTTCTTAGGAAGTAAGGGTGGAACTAAAAAGAGAAATTTAAAAAGAGAACTTAAAAAAACGATAAACGAACATATTACAAATAATTTTATTGTTAAATTTACTATAGTTTTGTTATCCCCTATAATTACGAATAAAATATTCACACAGTATAATATTAAAAACAAAAATACTTTAAAAAATGTATTTTCTTTAAATATAAGTGCATACCATATTTGAATAATTTATTATATTTTAGAAGATTATCAAAAATATTAAACACTTAACACCCTTTATCTTAGAAAGAAACAATCCTACAGTGGCTGCCACAAAAACCTCAAACACCCTGTACAAAAAATTGATCAAAATACTATTAAATCGACCATGTTTCAAAGAGGTGTATTAAAAGTTAAAATTGTTATCATTTTAATTAACAGCCTGTATTTTTTAGTTTATTTATAGTTTGAAAAACAGCAAAGCAATACAAAGCTTTGTGTTGAAAAACTCACTTTGAAATATTTTTAGATTTTGATCGGGAAAATTCAACTGAGCTAATGGAAAGACAAAGCGGATGTAATGTTATTTACAGCAAACGAAACAGTCAATTTTCAGTAGATTGTGCACAGGCACATAAAGGACTTTTTTCAGGGATACTTGTGTTGGCCGTTACTATTATTAGCCTGATTATGTTCTTTGAATTTGTGGCCATGAAAGATTTTAAAGATGTTGCCGTATTTCAAGTAAATTTTTAATAATTTTACTAACTATTTCATTTTATTTTTATACTTTTTAGGTAAATATTTGGGAAGCAGTATTATTTTGGGCGGGCACAGCATCAGTTATAAGTTGTTTGCACGCCCTAAGGGACGTAGGCATTAGGAAGATGAAAAGGCATTTAGAACTGGAACATCTTTTGATGTTAGTGACTCAATGTGGGGTTTTTATGTACTTTTTGTTTCAAATTATTGGGGCAATACTTATGGGAACTAATAAAGGAAAAGGCGGAATCATGAGGTAGGTTATTATTAGGGATGGGATTTTGGTTTCATTATTTATAAAAAAGGTACTTAAATAGGTAAACTTTTTTCTTGTTTTAGGTGAGAAAATTCAAATTAGGTAGGTACGTTCTTTTCGAAAATGGGTACTGGAAAACAACTTTTAGGTGGTAAAATTATTTAATTTATTATTGTATAAAATTTTATTGAACAGGATTTTTATGATTTGAAAAATTTGAAAACAACTTAGTATATTTTATAGAAATATGATAGTATATTTTATAGAAATATGATAATACCTTTATAAATTTTATAATTTTTTAAGGCAACGGCACAAAATGTTTTTGTAAATAAGCATACAATTGCTGACTTAAAAATTAAAAGGTATTTTGATAGAAACATTTAAACAAAATACTTTTTCATGAAAAAGCAAAAATTTGAAAAAATTTGTAAACATGCAACATTGCAATGGAATCTCACATTCGCGTCACCACAGATGATAAAGAAATAGATAGGCAACTGAGTAAGTGAGTAGTGATATCGTGTTGCAGCGCCACCTAGTAAGAATTCCGCTCTGGTTTTTGGTTTTGGCGGTTTATTTGAAACGAAAAATATATTTTTTCATATATTCATCAATATTTCATCTTTTTTAAAACTGCTTAGCAGTTAAATAGTTTGAAAAAAAAATCGAAATTAAAAAGTGTTTTATTACATTTTATACAGCAATATATTAAGATAAATAGATTTTAGGTGGTAAAATTTCATTATTAAAATTTAAAATTTAGGTAAAATAGGTAAAATAACATCAGGGTCAAATGAAATCTTTTTTTTTTCAAAACGGATTTTAGTTATGATTAGCTTAGATAAATAGGTAAGAAAACCAAAATCCCATCTCTAGTTATTATATGATGAACTAGGTTTTATTTCATCTACTTTGTGGTGTCAAGGCGACGCGTCGTGTTACCAAATATATGTCATCAGACCAGCTAAAACTTGCTTCGTTATCGACTAAAACTTTTCGTGATACTTTTATTGGGTTCTTTGAGTACATTTAACACAAACATATTTCTATTTTTATTTAAATTAGACTTTTGTTTGAAAAATAATTGTTATTTATTTGGTGGCGTCAAGGATGTATAGAACTTTAGTTGAGCAAACATTCAATTTTCTTAGTTTCAAAACAAAAAACTTTGGCTAGGTGTAGGTTCAATTTTTTCTTTAGTTGAGCATCCTATAGTCGCCGCGGCGAATGTTTTCCGTTGTGTCATCAATTTTCAATGACAAGAACCGGTTTGTCGACATACGTCCGGCATACATCCCGTATACGCTGTAGCGACTATAAAAATAAAACAGATAATTGTAATGCCTTTGTCTTGGTTCACAAATTAATGAAGTAACGTAAAACATTCGCCGCAGCGACTATAGGATGTTCTAATTTCTATACTTGGCTATGTAAAAATGCCGTATATTTTTTGTGTTGTAGGCTTAATTTAAGCATACCTTTTAACTGACCAATCAAAATTTATTAAATTTGATCTTTATGGTTAAAGAACCACGGCTATTGGAGAGAAAATATTATATCACGCATTTTAAAATTTAATTTTAAAGTATCCTGAATCCAAATTTGTTTTTCGATTATTTTTAAATCGTTAAATATGTAAAAAAACAAGTGTATTTTTTCGATTCCAACCATAAATTCGGATTTAGTGCAAAAAATACATATATGGCAAAATACCATTTCTATAGAAAAGTTAAGGTTAAAAAAACCTGAGGGTGATGCAAAATTTTGACCATGGTGTAACTAAAATGCTCTGCATCATTGTAAATGTGTGGAGCGAAACTGTACAAACCATAATTTTAAAATTGCTATTAAGGTCAGAATTCGTGAAATCAGCAATACAAAAATATCTATTTGCATTTTTTATCAAAATATGATAAAACGCTTATATTTGACTAAAAAATTGTTAGATAAATTTTATTATTATAGTAAAAATTACTTTTTCTACTTCTACCTTTCAAACGCCCATTATCGTACATGTTTCCACTAAGAGATATTTTAAATACACATTGTCAAGTTTTGGCTTTATGGCGTTTTAGTAACGGACTAAAGTTAGTTTTAAGTTAGTTGACAGTTGTCAAATGGTCAATAGTTAAAATAAAGTGCCCTTGTGAAATGTGGAAATTTTTTTATTATCTTAATACAAAAATAAAAAGTATATAAATAGTTTCTTAACGCAAATACCTATTTAAAAGTTTATATGCAAGTTCTTACTAACCTTTTGATTTTGCCGGCAGTAAACTGGATTTAACTAGAAGCATTAAAAATTTCGGGTGGAATCTCCAAGAATATTCTATTCACTTTTACTGTGAAAAATTGCTTCTGCTTCATTTAAACTGTTGTTAGTCCATTTTAAAGGGATAAATTTCGATTTACACATACAAATTTGACTGGCGCGCCGGTAATCCAGATTCCCAAGTTATACAAGGTGTCCCTAAACTTAGTGGCAAACATTTAGGAGCAGATTAAGCAAGTCAAAATAAGACAAAAATCTAAATAAATATTTTTCCTAATTAGGTGTGTTTAAAAGATACAGGGTGATAAAGTGTTACTTATCATATCAGTTAAAAAAACTTCCAGACTTGGAAAGGTGATATTTTGCGAACAGTCACTTACTACCAAAACACATATTCACACATAATTACAATTATTCGAGTGAACGCAGTGTCGTAGAAATAGGGGTTGCTTAAGCTTATTGTCCCATACAAACTTTGAGATTAGGTTTTTATACCATTTGATACTTTTCCGAGATATCCGAGATTACAGTAATTGTTATATCGCATTAAAGGACTAAAAGGTATATGATAACAAATTTTTTAATTGAAAAAACTACAATTTTTTTTTAATGTTACGGTCAGGGCAAAAAGTCTCAAGGCTCATGGAATGCCGTTTTTAGTTTTTTCAATTAAAAAATAAAATTTGTTATTAATCTTTTTAAATAATGCGATATAACAATTATTGTAATCTCGAATATCTCGGAAACGGTTTATTTTATCGAAGTTTGAGAGGTACACCTTTTTAATGGTGGACGAACTGTGTAATCAAAAAATTGTATCAAATGTTATAAAAACCTAACCTCAAAGTTTGTATGGGACAATAAGCTTAAAGCAACCCCCGTTTCTACGACACTGTGTTCACTCAAACAATTATGTGTGAATATGTGTTTTGGTAGTAAGTGACTGTTCGCAAAATATCACTTTTCCAAGACAACCATAGTAGAAGTTATATTAAAAAACTGATATCATAGGTAACACTTTATCACCCTGTATCTTGGAAACATAAATAATTAGGAAACATATTTATTTGGGTTTTTGTCTTATTTTGACTTGCTCAATCTTTTCCTAAACTTATGCCAATAAGTTTAGGGACACCTTTTACATTATTACGCGAATTATTATATATTTTTTATAGATGTGGCTCTATACCAATATTTTTAGATAATAATAAGTACCTATTTGTCGTAAAAAAGTATAGTATTCTATACTTTTTGCGTATATGCAACTCGTTTATAAAGTTTTCTAGGAACTCATTTAAAATTCGTTACTAAAATGGCGTTTACGAAACTTGATATATAATATACTATTTTAAACAATACTTTTACGAAAAAAACTGGTAGTTATTGCTATAAAACTCTAATAATTATATAATATTTTTGTAAAACCAAGTTTGGTAACTAAATACCCAAGCTGTCTCCAATTTTATATAAATATAAGTTTGTATTATTCTTCTTTTGAAATAAAAAATGCCCCTTCAATTATATCATTTTCTCTAGATCTTACAAAAAATTTTATCAATTTGGTTCCGGCATCATTTAACAAGGATAATCATCATTAATTTTTTGTCATTGTTAATAATTTGTATGGTATTATGAACAAATTTATTTTTTAGAATTATTACTCCCGCATCAGCTCTCGTCCAATCCGCCTCTCAAACAGTTTTAATCCTGGACGCTTGGCGTAGACGTTGCAACACTGAAGAACAAATGCGTCGAAAACCCGGAAGGCAACTTATTACATTCCTTCTCGTGGTTAATATTTCTCTATGGTTAAATAATAGACTAAAAAATAACCAGTCTGTTTACCATCCCAATCAAATGGACTTTTATGGAGTGCTGGCTTGGAATATTATAACTCACGTGTCAATGCCGTTGGTTCTTTCTTACAGATTTCAATCGACTGTTTGTTTTTACGAAATTTGGAAACATGTTTACAAGATAAGGCCTATAAATAAAAATGAACCCTAAATTGACTTGAATTGGCATGTATATTTATTTGTAATATAGCTATGGACAAGTGTATTAGATTAGATGTTATATTAAAAATAACTTAAAATAATTGCGTTTTTATTGTTTTTAATAAATCCCGAGGCCGACTGACATCATAATTTGACGTCATACATTGGTATAATAACTATCCACAACTATACACCTTTAAATCCACCTTTAAATCGAGTGATATTTGTTGAAATAAATAATTATCAATCTAATAAATTTGTTGCTACTTCGGGAGTTCCACAAGGGTCTAATATGGGACCTTTGTTATTTTTAATTTTTAAAAATGACCTGCCTTATTTTATTGGATGCTTTCTTTAAACTGTTATTATCAGATGACCTTAAGATTTATAAATCAGTCCTTATCAGATTGTATTTGTCTACAATCCAATCTTGAATTTGTGTCCCTGTGGTGTAAACAAAATAGTCCAAAATTAAATAATTCAAAATGTAGAGTTTTAACGTACACACGAAAATTAACTAAAATTATTTTTTTATACAATAAATGCCGCTGTACTTGAACAGGTTAATACAATCAGGGATCTGGGTATTGTCTTTGACTTAGTACTGTCCTTTGATGATCATATATCAATAATGATAAAAACTGCTTGGTTTTATTATTAGAACATTAAAAATTTTCACAAGCATTGATACTTGAATAGGGGTGCCTTATCTGGTATCCCTATTACAATCATTATAAGAATAGTATCGAATCAGTACAAAGGAGATTTGTAAAGTTTTTGTCTTTTAAAACAGATCAACGCTACCCTGAGAGAGGCTCGGATATATCTGGATTTATAACCAGGTTCGATATCCAATTTTTAGAATTGCGTAGAAGAATTTTATCTATAACTTTTTTATATAATTTGTTGCACAATAACATTGACATTAAGGTCCTTGTACCTAGTAAAACTCGAAACCATCAAATTTGTTTTATTTCCAGAGCAAATACTAATTTACTATTTAAGTCACCAGTTTTTCTTATGTGCAACAACTTTAATAGTATTTGTGTAATGTGTGAAATTTTTCACTTTTCTTTAAAAAATATTAAAAACTTTATTTGTTAATTTAAATGTTCTTTTTGGTTTTTGACTGTTGGGAAATAAAAGTTATTATTATTATTATTATTATTATTATTATTATTATTATTATTATTATTATTATTATTATTATTATTATTATTATTATTATTATTAGTATTATTATTAAGTCCAACCGCTATACCAAAGCCTGCAGTCGCTTGGTTTATTTCTTTTCTATGACCAATTTTGCTTATCAAATTTTTTTAAATGGTATTTTAAACCTATTTTTTCCTGTTACCTGCTTAGCTTACTGCTTTCATCTGGATCAAGTTGCCCCATGGGGTAAAATATCTCAGTGAAGTTCTAAAAAGCGTACAAGCTGTTCTTTTTTCTATAAGAATAACCCAAAATAAAAAAATCTCGGGATGCCCTACTATTATTTTAAGTTATTATTATAAGTTTTTATATTTTTGACATTTATTTTCAGTAGTCTTTAACAATCATTTTAAATAGATTTATTCTAGAAAAACTTATACTATATGCCTGATATAGTAATAAAAACAAAATACAGATTTTTAATTAAAACTTAATTTCTGTAATTTGAGGAGGTGTATTCCAAAATTCGGCTTATCCATATTAGGTGATTTTAAGCAAAATGTCAAAAACCTTACACGTCGTCACCCTAATATAACAAGGTTGTATGTTAAAAAACCGAAAAATTTGAGTTTATGCTTCTACAAGGTTTTATGCAATCTACCCTTGACATACAACTTGAAAATAACTCTATATGTATACATAGAATATACATTCAATAGAATTATTTTTAAGTGGTATGTGAAGCTTAGGCCACGTATAATGCTGTAGAAACATAGACTTAAATTTTTCTTTTTTTTAACATACAACCTTGTTATATCAGGGTGACGACGTTAGTACTAATGCCTATCAGGCCAACAGAATACTTTAAACGCATACGTATAAAATTTATATACCTTGATTTAAAAGGTATAGCTCCAATTTGAAATAATTTAAAATTACATACGTATAAATCAGTTCTGACATGATATATTTGGAATGAGTCAATTTGTAAAATTTTAAAAGGGATGTGAGTGTTAAAATATTATGACTATTTTAGGGTATAGGGGGCTATATGTTAAATGTACAGATACCACTAACTCATTTTATTAAAAAGTGGATAAGCCTAGTTTTGGAATGAACCTCCTCATATAATAGATGTATCGCAATTCTGTTCATTTAATAATAAAAAATAGAATTGGTATTGATATATTTATTTGGTATGTCATTTTGAAGCTGACCCATATCCTATAGGATCACTGATTATTAACAACTTATTTTTAAAATTTTAATATTTATTAACATTTATCATAACCTCAATTATATTCTTCACTAAATTAGTTTGTTTTACTCAATGTAATGTAACTTATTATAAATTTAGGGTTCCTCGTATTTGACAACTAAAAAGACAAATTTTTGACGTCATAATAAAATAAAATCAAACTAATAATTTTTTGACTGCAGCAAATGACATGTTCACGCACTCTATTCTTAAAAAATCTTTAAGCAATTATTAAATTATAAAATTATTTATAATAAAGCCATTTTACTAGCATAATAAATAAATTTTAGGTTGGAAAATAAATTAAATATAATTTAAAATAATTCATAAAAATATTTGAATATATCACAATTCTTTAAAAGAATATTAAGATACCAAATTTGACTGTAAAATGGTAATTACACTGCATAGCGACAGAAACTTATTTCCTCCCGTTAACAAAGTAAAAATTTTAAAGGTCGGATGCAGAATCATTTAGTAGTTTCGCCTTTTATTGGTGAAAACTTAAATTTGATTATTACCGAAAAGTTTGGATGAAATATTTTTTTAATAAAATATCAAATTATATTTTAAACAGTTTATTTTTATTTATACATAATAATATAATGTTGTGTGCAATGAAGAAAATATACCTAATAAAGCTTTTCATATTTTCGCAGACATAACATATTATATAATTTTATATATATAAATATATTTATTTATAGGTACAATGTAGACAAATGTCAATATCGACTTAATTTTATTAAGTCCCTAACTCCCTATTATATGTACATTTGCATTATTAATTTAATATCCTAGTCATTATTTAACCTTAACATTTTTTGTTTTTAAATATGAGTTGATAAATTAAGACTTCCATTTATACCATTCACACTACCTTTTTCATTTGCGCGTCCATTTTCCACTTTTTGTTCCAGATTTTCTGTAGATTCTGTATATTTGGCTTGTGTCTTTGAAAAAATTATTTTTTCTATTCCCAAAACTGGTGCTTCAACTAACATAGATAAAATCCAACCAAAGAAGAAGGAGAAAAATATTTGTCCACCAATGTTAAAGATCTAAAAATAAAAATATTTAATATTTTATAAATATATTATTTTAAAATAATACTTACAATCCACATGTATCCCATATGCTGGGGACTCCTCAGAGAGCCGGCAAAGAACATTTGAACAATACCATGAACCAAGAATGTTGAATACGTCAATTTACTTAAAATCATCATAGGATTCCATGATAAAATCCAATTAATATAGGCTAAAATAAAAATAAATACATTAGGTTAGGTTTTTACTAGTGTGCAGAGACGCTTCTCAAGATTTGATAGGTTACCGAATTTTTGACCATTAAATTTTTGACACTAAATATTTTGGAAGTAAGATTTGTAATACTTTTTTTACTCCTATTACGGAATATGAGGAGGTCCATTCCAAAACTCGGCTTATCCACTTTTTAATAAAAATGAGTTAGTGGTGTCTGTGCATTTAACATGTATTCCCCTATACCCTGGAATGTTCATAATATTCTAAAACTCACCTTATTCCATTTAAAATTCATTTACAAATTGACTATCGTTCAAAAACTAGCCTGGTTATATCATGCAGAGCTCGGCATATACGTATGTAATTTTAAATTATTTTAAATTGGAGCTATACCTTTTTAATCAAGGTAGGTATATAAATGTTTTACTTATGCCTGTATATTTCGTTTAAATTATTCTGTTGGCCTGATATGCGTTAGTACTAACGTGTAAGGTTTTTGACATTTTGCTCAAAAACAACTAATATAGATACGCCGAGTTTTGGAATGCACCTCTTCATATGACCCTTCTTATATTACTTTTTAAAGTGTAATTACATATAATTCTTAAAAAAACAATTATTCTATCACCGAATGACGAAGACGGCGACATCTCTGTGTTTATTAGCTAACAACTTTTGGACCAATCCAACATCACTATCTCCCAATTAAATTATTTGTCTACGGTATTTCTTGGAAACGTAGAAAAAGTAAGGTCTGAAACACATTTGGAATTGCATATTCCGCTCTCGTGAAACCGTCAAAACGCTCGGACACGTAAACTTAATTTAAGATCGTAGATTGCAAATCCTTGCTTGGTTTAGCTGTATCAGGTCAAAATTCAAAGATATTTCATTTTTTCAAGTTTTTTGGCATCCCATTATTATACACCCTGTATAAAAAAAAATAACTTGGATAGACTTCCACATCAGTTCCAAATTTAAAAAAAATAATTCTTGGAAAATTTAAGTTCAACTTATCTAATGGAACACGTGTCCCTGAGGGTTTTTTTAGATAATTTAGGAAATTCGAAATGTTTTTTTGCATATTTTTTTAATGAAGTATAATTGAGGATATTAAAGCATAGGAATGTTGGCACAAGATGTGAAATATATTATTTTACAAATTTTCATATACCAGTATACACTGTAGGGTGGGCCGAAAAAATTATTTTTTGAATTCAATTTAGGGGTAGCAAAAAAAATTTACCTTATGCCAAAAGTAGTTTGTAAAAAAAAAATTAGCGTACTAGCCCAATATTTAAGGCCCCCCCTGGGCGCCCAAAATATTATTTTTTTATATTTTTTTTGGGGTAGCAACAAAAAGTTACATTTTGTTAACAGTAATTCTAGAAAAAAAAATAGCGTACAAGCCCAATATTTAAGGCCCCCCTGGGGGCCCAAAATATTATTTTTTTATATTTTGTTTGGAGTAGCAACAAAAAGTTACATTTTGTTAACAGTAATTCTAGAAAAAAAATTGATTACTAGCCCAATATTTAAGGTTACCCCGGGGGCCCATTTTTTATATTTTAATTGGGGTTAGTCACAAAAAGTTACCTTATGTTAACAATATGTCTAGAAAAAAAGTCCGATATTAATTTGACGTCAAAAATTTGTCGGTTTAGCAAATTCTAGGGTTAAAAATGTTTATAAATTTGGAAATGTTTTTTTTTAAATAAAAGAACTAAAAATATTTATAAGTCAAGCAGACGACTTCTATATAAGGTTCGGCAAGTTTCCCTTTCACACGCAAGCGGTGAAAAAGTTTGTGAAGCTTGTAACAGAAGCTGCATTAAAAATTTGCTGTGAGGTAGCAAGAAATGGTTATAACCATATATATATAGATGCGCGGACATCTTTACCGGCCTATATGACAACAAGTCTCAATATTATTTAAATAATAAAAAATACTGGGTGGGAGGGAGTGGATGGAACTCGAGGAGCAAATATCCAATTAATTAATAATAATAATAATAATAATAATAATAATAATAATAATAAAAATGCTTTATTGCATAAAACACAAAATTAATTACACAAAAGGCTGCGTTCGTAAGGACGTCCTTCCATACCACCTACTAAGAAATTAAATCTATTTTATTCTGCATATCACATATTAATTAAACTAAATCCTATAATTTCATATCACAACAATTAATAACAAATTAAATGTGTTTGGATATTGAAATATTATGTTAAAGAATGTTTTATCGTTCAAAATTTTTATAGATAGGTCTATAAACGAATCCTTAGATTTTGAAGTTTTGTGACTAGGTATTTGAAAAAGATTGTGCCTTAAATCAAGATTGTATTTATTGGATCTTTGAATACAGTTGTTGAATAGGTATTCAGGAAATTATTAGGTATTTACTTTCTGTAAGGATCAATTATTTTTAAATGCTTGTTTTCCAAATAGATTGAAGTAATGGGATCAAATTTTCCGAAATATATGAATCTAATACATGAGTTTATTTTTAAATGTTTCAGTATGATATGAGTAGTAGACTGGCATGCAATAGTCTATAATAGGGTGTATATTAATGTTGAACATACTTAAATTAATATAGTGATTTCAGCTTCATATAACACAAACTAAGTTGTCTTGTAACATGGCTTTCAAAGTTCAGGTTAGTATAAATAATAAAAAAACACCCAGATTTCTTGCTGTTTCTTGCTGAGGTATTTCTATAATATTTATATGTTTGGTATTAAAATTATATTGTTTTTTATTTATCATATATACTGTACCAATATTTATTACAAGACCCTTTTTGGCATTTAACTGAAGTCTATGATTAACTGACCAAGCATTTACTTCTTTTAAGACTTTATTTATTTCGATAGTGGTTGTGTTAATTAATTTAGAGTAACGCAAAATCTTTTTTAATTTAATAAAATCAAGCCAAGAGTTGCTAATTTTTTTTCATCAAAAGGCGTCTTAATAAAATAATAAAAAAAACTTAGACTGATACAGGCATTTGGTTTGTCTATGCAATAATACATGGGGTAACTTTTTGTTGCCATCGCAATTAAAATATATATAAAAAAATTTGGGCCCCCAGGGCACCCTTAAATATTGGGCTAGAATGGCTATTTTTTTCGAAACATACTGTTAACATGAGGTTACTTTTTGTGGTTTCCCCAATTAAAATATGAACAAAAAATATATGTTGGGCCTCCGGGGCACCCTTAAATTTTGGCTAGTATGCTCATTTTTTTTTAGAATTACTGTTAATATAAGGCAACTTTTGTGGTTAACCCAATTAAAATATGATAAAAATAAATATATTGGGCCTCCGGGGCACCCTTAAATATTGGGCTAGTACGCTCATTTTTTTTTTAGAATTACTGTTAACATAAGGTAACTTTTTGTTCACACCCCAGTCAAAACATACAAAAAAAATATTTTGGGCCCCCGGGGGGACCCTTAAATAATGGGCTAGTACGCTACATTTTTTTCTAATAAATTACTTTTAACATAAGGTAACTTTTTATTGCTACCCAAAAATAAATATCTCAAATATTTTTTTTTTACGTTTTTCGGCCCACCCTAGTATACAGTCCCCTGTTCAGATTGCCAATAGGGAAAACTTTTTAGACCTGATACAGCTAAACCGAGTACGGATTTGGAATCTATAACCAAAAATTATTTATTATTTAAGTGTCCGAGAGTTTAGCTATGATATTTTAAGAGTTGAAATTTACCTACAATGTAGTTAATATCTAGATAACTAAATTTATTTTTAAATGATTTGCTAGTTTCAATTTTTTTCACATATTACATCATTGTTTTAAATAAAAATGGATTTTAAATTATAACTATACATAATTAAATATTGATAACATTATTTTAGTAGCTAAATCTTACATTTTATTTATTGTTGGGTATACCCATTACAAAAAAATTAATTACCTCCATATCCACAAGAAACTGCAATAATTATCCAAGGATATAGATGCACCCAAGTCAAATGGTACATCGACGAGTAAAAAGCATTTAAAATACTACTTTTTGGTATTTCTTCATTATAAAATACGGGTCCAGAGTACATTGTGCTTAACATGAGAACCATGCAACAAACCATCCGGTAGTGCACCCAAGTCGTGACATTTTATAGTTGTGTTTTTTTAATCTTATAACGAAGATACCCGACCAATATACCGATTAGATACGGCGTCAACCGAAGATGACTCGGTATATAAATGCTTTTGTAAGTGCTGTTTAAAACTGGATCCTTAAGGAATGGTATGTATAATAGTAGCATGGCTTTTTCGTCATAAATGTAGACTGTTAAGAATACTGCTGTAATTGATACGATTAGAGTTGTGCTTATGGTAATAATAGCTTTTCTGGGGTTTTTTCCATAAAAATAGTACCAGTAGAACTGATACCATAAACATATGTATTTCACAGGATAAATACCATGATTGAAACATACACTAAAATAAATACAAATTTCCTTCGCTTTTTTTAATACTTCAGGCAATAGCATTTTCTTTAATGTTCTCTTTTAGAGCTGCCAAGGCAAAACATTGGAAAATTTTTAGAGCTACCAAGTCAAAATCCCAAAGAAAGAAGGGTAGTAGTCAAATTGGACGAGCAACGCGATATTTCCTGGTTACCTAATTTCTCATTTTGGTGATTTACAGACTACTCCAATCTTTTGAAGTTTCTTGTTTATGTAAATTGGCCACAGACCTTAGCAGACCCAAAAAATAACATTGAAGATAAAATGACAAATCTATAGATATTGATATATCAACTAAAGCATTGAGAAATGTAATGTAAAATGCATTGCGCATCAACTATGTCGGCTTAGCAGAAAAAAAAATGTAAAAGTCCAACTAAACATTTTACAAGAACAGAACGGTTTTTAGAACCAAATATTAGAAATATTTCCCAACACCAGAACAAAAAACAAAGTACTTTAGGCACTTTTGCTTTGGCGTTGGGGAATATTTCTAACATATTACCAAAGTTTGGCCTTTTTCAAGTAGGAACGGTTTTTGTCATTTACAAAAAAATTAAAGCTTAGGAAATCGAGTGATTACTTTTCCCATTACTTTTACCATAATCGTGGTAAAATATCATAAAATATTAAAAACTTACGATTTGATCTTTTTTAATGTAGTTGTTTATGTATAAAAGGTTAGCCCACCAGCTAGCTTGACACCTTTCCTGTTCGACAACGATTTTTTTTATGCCAGAATAATCCTGAACCAAGTTTTGAAAACACTGTACAATAGAATGCTATTATAAAAGCATAAGAAAGGTGTTAACCTAAAATTAAAAGAACGTTTTTAGTTAAAATTTTTTTTTAAAAATCAATAAATATTAGAATGTATTATTTTAACTTATATGATGTGGCATGAGAAAATCGTACTAACGACCGAAATCTGTTTATATAAAGTGAAAAGTTTAAAAGCTGGTAGCAACAAAAATAAAACAAAGATATAAATTTGTCATAATTTAGATTGATCTCAAAAAACTAGATTCTATTAGCAAAGTTAATAAATTTTTCGGTAATTAGGTATATTTCCTCATACCACGTTACGTATATTACCTGAATATTCTATGTATGTAGAGCAAAAATATGTTTGATCCCTCTGTTTCTTTTATGCAGATTAATAAGCATTAAATATGAAGTTAAAAATCCAGAAATAAGAAAAAAAGTATCAACATACCCTGAGCCATTTAACAAAAGCAATGACGTCATTTTTAAATACATCTAAAATTAATTAAAATTTAGGAATATGTACCTATATATATATATTTTAATTATTTTAAATTGCCCATATACATTTTCCACAAAGATGGGATTTTGCATGGGGGAGCTGATGATAAACATAAAACATGTCCAGACAAAATTATTGCCATAGTAATTGCTTTTAATCCACTGACACAGCTAAGGCCATCTTTGTCATCATTTTTTATTGTCACAAGTTTTTGTAGATTTCTCGGAAATGAGAAACATAAGAATAGTTTTTGATATGTATCTAAAAATATTTTGTTTTAAATTTTATGTATTTATAGTGCTTTAAAACTAAAATTTGAAGCTGCATCCAACAATTAAAAATAAGTACCTAACTCTGAAGAAACTGTGCTTTGGTTATTTTTTTGCCAATTTATTTTATATAACCCAATATGTTTATATTAAAAACGTTATTCATAAAATACTCACATGTGTATGTAGAATCATCTTTGCTTCTTAGCTTATTAATAAAATCATAAAATGAAGCAATTACTATCAGTACCAGTAAACAAACAAAAAATGCCCTAAAAATAATTGTTTGGTAATATTTTCAAACAAATTTATAGTCTATAAGTTTTTAACATTTAAAAAGTAATATTTTGTTAAAAATTAAAATAAAGGTAATATATAATATTAACAGATAAATAGGTAAATGTACACCATTACTTTTATTGACTTAAATGTCAAAATAAGTTACTTTATCAAAATATTTTGATTGTGTCTTTTAATAATTGCTTTTAATAACTTGTTTGCTAGTAAAATTGGTTGCATGAAAAGTACACTTATTTAATTTAATAGTTTATTGCCCATTTTAACATAAAAATCATATTATGTTTAAATAAAACTTAACGTAAATACATAATATTTTTATTACTTAAGTATTTACCTATAGGTATACCTATATATAGAATGGAAATTCGCCTTGATTTTTACAATCCCTAAAGGTTTTTTACAATCTCTAGTGGTTTTCCAAAATTAAATTTTTTACTATTGATTTTGCAACTTAAAAATTTTATCGAATCACTTGAAATTATAGGGTTTACGTAGAAGCCTACTCTTTAAAAATGAATTATCATAGGGGAAAAAGCAGCCACTAATATTTCTCGTCAATAGCAATTTGTATCCCAAACTTTTGGCAGTCAATTTCCATGTAAAATTGTCCCCTGGGTCCAAAAAGTCGTCAAAAGTTAAAAAAGTAGAACAGTTTTTGAGATATGGTCAATTTTTCATTTAATATGGAATTGACTCTATCTCAAAACTGCCCTACTTTCATAATTTTTCATATTTTCAGCAACTTTAATTTAAAATATGCTAAATTAGTTGATTCAGTGGAGCAAGACCTTTCAAATAAAGTATTACTGGCCCTATCATACCTAAAAAAGTTTTAGGTACTGCGCGCAGGGGTGAAGCGATTTGCAAGCAAAAGATGTCCTCGAAACTGAAGTAAGCGTATTTTTGTGTTTTTTTAATATCTGCTTACTACCTGAAAACCTGTTTTTGTTGGGCCACCCTGTATAATGTGTTATTTAATGCTTTATTATAAAAACCAAAAATATTTTACCAATTTCTTTATCTTGAAAGTGTATCTTGTTCTATGAATTTTCCAAATATTATGGTGTGTTTATTATATAAAAATATAAATATGATTATAAATATATATATACAGTATATTCGATTGTACGTTTAACCATTTGATTTAAATTATCTAAATATACATGTTTGTCAGGACGATGGTTCATATAGTCGCGGCGAATGTTTTCCGTTACGTCATCAACTTTAAATGTCAAAAACCGGTTTTTCGACATGCGTTCGGCATACATCCTATATACGCCGCAGCGACAGTACAAAGAAAACAGCAAATTGTAATGTAACGGAAAACGTTCGTCGCGGTGACTATATTAAATGAACGGTCTCTAGTTCATAGCTATGCTAGGAAGGTGGGCTGTAGTAAATTTCTATATTAATTAATTTATCCCGGCGCATTCGCCATATTTACAACCGTAAGAACTTTATTATATTTTATACAACTTATGTATCTTTATTTTGTTTTAAACACCATATCTTTTGAAAATAAACTATTTTCTTAGAAAATAGTAATGTCTTTAGTAGATATTTTGTTATATACAACATTTAACAACAGAACGATAACAATTTATTAAAAACATGTCCCTGTAAATGTAAAAACGACTAGTGTTTCCAATACAGGTAGTTTATATTATTAAATAAGAATAAATTATAAACCCTAAAATTTTAAATAATTTTTTGTATCAAACAATTTTAAGTTTATAATACTTTAAACTATAAAATAGTTTTAATTTAATAATACAAAACAAATATCTCTAATTAAATATTTATGTAAATTTATAATTATATTTTAAACCGCTTGGTTCAATTTAATCATTCATTAACTACATAGATAATAAAACACAAAAGATAATTAAATGAATTTTTTAAATAAAGCCAACCTATTAATTTTACTTTCATATAAATAATTTCAATGATATTTAAACTTATTTATAAACAATACTTTTATTCATTTTTAACTTATGAATTATAATATGAGGACCAATAAGTTAATTTTGAAACAGTAGTTAACAAATTATAAGTATTAAAATAGTCCTATATATAATAAAATTTATATAATATAATTAATATTCACTATTCACAGAAAAAAAAACAATATTGTGCAATGGGAGTAGATAAACCATTAAATTATTAAATATAAATAATTTAAAGAAATTGTTGTTGATCAAGTTAACATTTAGTTAAACCAACTACTTAACATTCTTAATAAATTAGATTAGATAAATCAGATTTTAGAAACCATTCATCGTATCACCGAAAACGTCCTTATACTATTTATTAATAAAATCGTATTTAATGTGACATACAAAATCATATGTGTGTACATTTTATTTCACCATTTTAACATTTATATGATGTGATAAAAACAAAATTACATTTTTTATAAAAACAATACGTGGTACGTCACATACATAAATTAAAAAACATTTAGAAACCTTATCAGGAAATTGAATTTTTATTATAATTCTCAAAATCAATAATTTAATTGTATTATAATTCTAAAATAATAAGGGTGACAAAATAATTTTAGTTTTACCTTCTTAGTAAATGACATTTTATAGGTTAATTTTGTTGTTTTTTTGTACAAGTAATAAACGATATATTATGGGGACAAACCTGTAATATTTTACGGGCTTGTATAAAAGACTTCTAAAGTTTTACAGGGTTGTAGAAAAGCAATTTATGAAATGAAATGACAATGTGACACATTAATTAAAATTTCAAATTTTAAAATTGTTATCTAAAGGTAAAAGTTTGTGCCTGTCATGCTTCGCAATTAATCTACTAGGCTCAGCTGAATAAATTAATTTGCTATAAATATTATTAAGAATAAGAAGTCGGATATTAAAGATTATTATTGAGTACTCCACAATAGCACGCATTCTCCTAATTGCCAACTTTGGCAACTTAATATATAATTCTAAAAGTTATCAAGATACAGAACAAAGTGTGTGAAAGATAAAATGATCTAGATCTGTTTTGGATTTTGATTTTATATGACAGTTTAAATCAAGGTAATATATTTTAAAGGTTAAATATTTTTTATATAATTAAAATTGCTAAAAAATTGATTTGGTATTCCTAAAATATATTATAATTGATAATTTACATTTTGTAAAGGTCAATTTCTATTTAATTATTTATATGTTTATTTATATTATTTACATTTTTTTATAGCCAACAAAACAGTGTTCATAACTGGTACAGCTGGTCTTTAAAATTTGTTAAAACTTAATTTGACGTGAACTATCATCCCCCAATGATGAAAACTTATTACATGACACTCTGTATATATGAAATTTCCATAGCGGTTATAGCTTTGCCATTCCATAAACAAATATATCTTTTAAACTTTTTAAATTTAATTAGTTTATTAAAATTGTATTTTAACTCATAGTTCGTCGAAATTGTTTTAGCACAAAAATAATTTTTCATAAAAACTTCTGCTTGTATTTAAAAATAAGATTCCTAACAAACATTTTTAATTAAATGTTAAATGGTGCTCAGAAAATAAAAAAACAGCAAAGTGCTTTAAGAGGGTAGTACAATAATTATTGTTCTATAGGAATCTCATTTTTAAAACAAGCAAGAGTATTTAAAGCATAATAAAAATAATAAGTTTTCCTATTGTCAACCATCACGATATTGGCTAAAGGACTTTTAGTAAAGTCATTTTAAGTCGATCGATCGAGATAATTAAAATAATAATTAGATAAGTTTTAATTTCACATATTGCTGTTAAAAATACGTAAAGGGGTATCTCGTTTTTCTTATTCCACCTATTGCTAACGTTTTTTGTTTTATTTAAAATATTTAACAACTCTTGTTAATAAACCCTTTATTACTAATATAAAAAAATAAAGAATATAAATAAATACTTACAAAAATGCAAAATCGCCTCCAATAAAATTGTGTTTAATGCTAAGCTGGCAAGTTATTTTTGTCAACTTCTGCTTTAATCTTAAATTGATTAATGGTATTTAAATTTAGGAAATCACCCAAAAAAATTTCCAAGTCCTCATTACTGCAGGAAGATGGTATACAGTATGTGAAATACAATTCATTTCTAGGTATTCCAGATGGGTCACCAAGTTGGCTCTAAAATATAAATAAATATTGTTATTAACATTGATAAATGTTACAGAATATTATGCAAAAAGGTTGGTAAATGGCATTTTAGTCACAAGTTTTTATTATGCATAAGCATAGCTTGGGTAGCGAGTGATTAATAAACGAGTGTCCTGAGCAGTTTATAAAGCAAATTGCATAATAAACTTATTTTATAGTGATGCCGCGAGACAAGACGAGACGAGGCGAGAAAAGTCCTTCTCTCAACTCGTCTCGTGCAGCGAGAGAAAATGGGTCTCTCATCTCGTCGAGAATACTCTTTTCTCGCTCGAGAGTGCCTTTCTCTCGTCTCGTCTCGTTTCTCTCATGGTAAAAGTGGCTATGACACATTGTGTGAATACAAAAATTATTTGGAATGAAATACGAATTTGTTTATATTTTTTTATATAGAAATTTAAACTGGAAATAAAAAAATGTGTGGCAAGAACACACTGATAAAGTAAGACTTTTTACGCCGAAAATGTCGAGCATTTGATGTCCGTCATTTTGAATCTGAAATTTTGTTTTTTTAATGGATATCAAATTTTTAATCAGCCTCAAAACCCACAAGTTGATGATAAGTTTATTGAACAAGCATATGGGTTTTTTTAATGGTATAAGGAGTGTCATAGATGTACTTATAAAGAGTAAATTTTAAAAATTAATATTATTAATTTTATAAGTATTTCTTTCTTGGTTAAGGTTAAGTTGTGTTATAAAATATCACAACTTTAACCAGAAACAAATGCTCACCTCCTCACCCGTTTTCCAAAAGAAATTTTGAAATTAAATAAAATGATTAGTAATCATTTTCTTTAATTACAAACAAAACATAATAATCTCGATTTATAATTTTTTGTTGTAAACGAGGTATTTGTTTAATAAATAACTTTTCATTTAATTTTTTAACCTTTCTAAATCACATATCATTATGTTATTATTCTTTTTATAGTACGAGGCGTCGTTACGTCGCGACGGTCCCTTTGCTAAGAACAACGGCCCCTATAAAAAATAACGACGGTCCCTCTAATAATAATAAATGTATGCATGTACAACTTTTGGATTTTACCTTTTATTAGAAAATAGAATAACTATGACAATTTTTTAAAATATTAATAGGTTTTTTTAATTAATTATTATTAAACCAATTTATACCATTTTTGAATTTTATCCTATAACATATACATATGTAATAGGGTGGGCCAAAAAAAAACTTTTAATTTTTTTTCTTTAGGTACCATGAAAATATCGTCCAAGATGACGAAAAAAAAATTCTCCTAAAGTTTGAGCTCTTAATACTAATATTAAGAGGTGGCTCATCGCGATTTTTTATTTTCCATTTAAATAACACGGGAAAAAAACATTTTTTTGTTTGTAATTTTATTGCGATTTAACGAATTAGTGTGTTGTAAAAATCAATACATATTCTTGTAGGGAATTGAACGATCTACAAAAAAGATCTGATATGATTTTTTGCTTAGTCGACTCTTTTAATAGATATTTGAGGTTAAAGTTCAACCTCAAATAGTAAATCATGACTTTTATAGTTTTCCATGCTCTATTACGAAATATTGGCTCAAAAACATGAAATATCATATTTTTCGTGAAGTTTATCGAGTGTTCTTTGGTAAAACAATACAATTTCTACGAAATATCAATAATCAATATCAATAAATTTTTTTTTTATAAGTATAAGTATAAGTCTACTTGATTTAAAAAAAAATCGAATTTTTTTCTTTACATAAGTAATGACAAAAAATTAATCATTTTCTCAAAAAATAATAAATATTCTATTTACACTTGACTATTAGGTAATAAAAGCCATGTTTCAATAATTTATCAACTAAAATAAAAAATGTTATTCCATAACTTGTACTTTTTTCACTATCTTAGAATCAAACATTTGTTGTACTTTTCTATTAATGCAACTCTTCTTTCTGCTACATCATTGAGAACGCTAAGACGTTTGAAAAATACTAGATTATCTTGATAGCTTTCATCCTGTGTCCAAAATTCTACATTCTTATTGATAAAGTCAATGGGTAAATCAAATATATTAAATATGTATATGTATATTTGATACTTATAGCGAGTAGTTAAAAACCACCAGCAAAAATATCCCAATTGTAACAAGAAAAATTTAGGGTAAAGAAAAAATTTCGAATTAAAAAAAAATTAAATATAGGAAAAAACCGTTTTTTCAACGATTATTGATATTTTATAAAAAATTGTATTGTTTTGCCGAAGAACAATCGATAAACTTCACGAAAAATATGATATTTCATGTTTTTGAGACAATATTTAGTGAAAAACTATAAAAGTCATCATTTACTATTTGAAGTTGAACTTTAACCTCAAATAACTTTTAAAAGAGTCGACTATGCAAAAAATCATATCAGATCTTTTTTGTAGATCGTTCAATTCCCTACAAGAATATGTATTGATTTTTACAACACACTAATTCGTTAAATCAATAAAATTACAAACAAAAAAATGTTTTTTTCCCGTGTTATTTAAATGGAAAATAAAAAATCGCGATGAGCCACCTCTTAATATTGATATTAAGAGCTCAAACTTTATCAGAATTTTTTTTTCGTCATCTTGGACAATATTTTCATGGTAGCTAAAGAAAAGAAAATTCAAAGTTTTTTTTTAAATCAAGTACTTATAGAAAAAAAAATTATTGATATTGATTATTGATATTTCGTAGAAATTGTATTGTTTTACCAAAGAACACTCGATAAACTAACTAACTAACTAAATATTTCGTAATAGAGCATGGAAAACTATAAAAGTCATCATTTACTATTTGAGGTTGAACTTTAACCTCAAATATCTTTTAAAAGAGTCGACTAAGCAAAAAATCATATCAGATCTTTTTTGTAGATCGTTCAATTCCCTACAAGAATATGTATTGATTTTTACAACACACTAATTCGTTAAATCGCAATAAAATTACAAACAAAAAACTGTTTTTTTCCCGTGTTATTTAAATGGAAAATAAAAAATCGCGATGAGCCACCTCTTAATATTAATATTAAGAGCTCAAACTTTAGGAGAATTTTTTTTTCGTCATCTTGGACGATATTTTCATGGTACCTAAAGAAAAAAAATTAAAAGTTTTTTTTTGGCCCACCCTAATATGTAATTTAGGGTGATTAAAAAAAATCGAATATTTTTGTTACTTCCGACACTAAAAAATTGGTTCTTAGGCACCCGTAGAAAGTGATCACCAAATTTGAGCTCTTTTAATATTAAAATATAAATAGGAAGATCTGGCTCATTAAACTTTTCCATTTTAGTATAAAATTATAAAAAAAAATTAATAAATTCTTCACTTTAATCTCGAATATCTTTTAGAGTAATCGCTAAAAGATAAAAAATGGAAAACTGTGATGAGAAGGATCTTCCTATTAATATAAACAGCTTAAATTTGGTGAGCACTTTCTAGGGGTGCCTTAGAACCAATTTATCAGTATTGGAAGTGACAAAATTTGTTTAAATTTTTTTAATCAACCCTATGTAAATGCATAAAATTCAGCGTATTTTACAAATTAGACCTACTTTTATAAATTTATTAAAATATTTTAAACTTACGAAAACTTGATCCAGCATGGACTGATTGTAAAACTTTCTGTAGTCGGATAAATGTTCCTTCTTTTTATATGTTTTGGGTGGTTCCACGGTAAATTTGGCTAAACAGGGTCTTCCAGTAAACTCCCCGTATTTATTAGGAACCACGATACCAATACACTCATCATAGTTGCCAAAATCGTAAGTTTCACCGTAAAGCAAACCACTTGAAAATTTTGTAGAAGCATCAAACACTAAAAAATCTCAAATCAATTTGTATCAAAAATTTATTTTTAATTTCCACGTACTATCCGAAGCCCATATCCTATAACTCTTTAGATCCTTTAAGTACAAAAGCGTGTGGTTCTTGCAAATTGGGTTTAAGGAATCACTGCTTTTAATAAGAACCGCAATCGCGTCAAAAAATTCCACATTTTCATTGTCGTTGCCGAAAAAGGGCACGTACCCCAATTTTATGGCTGTTACGTTGCAAAACAAAAGCGTAACGACGGTCAAGCACGCTAGACGCATGATATACCCGCTGCGCAAACGATTGATTGTCAAATGTTTCACCACGATGGTGGTACCCAGTTTTTATGGGGGCTAGACGGCTGAGCTTATATAATATAATATAATATACTTCCAAGGTAATATTTTGTTATTATTATTCGGCTAGATTTTTATTCTTTATTATTAATTTTTTTTATTTTTACTAGGTCGTTGGATTAAATTCATATAATATGACTCATATTGTTTCCATCATAATAATAACTTAAAAAAATTTAGAATATATTATATATTTTTTTTATAACTTATAACACTTATTTTATATATACAGGGTGTCCTAAAATCAGCTGACCAAAAGAAAGGGGTCAATTCTTTGCGAAAATCTAAAACGAAATTTCCCTTATAATTCGCAAAATTGCATGAGTTATTTTATTTTTAAAGCCACTAATAAAAGTGCAGTATTACTGTCCCTGTCTCCTCGTATACATACATATAAAATTTTGCGAATTGAAAAAAATGTTAAAGGAAATTTCGTCTTAAATTTTCGCAAATAATCGACCCCTTTTGTCTGATGTTTTTGGTACCCCCATATTATATTTATATAAAAAATAAATGTTAAATATAAAATAAATTAAAAAAATATAATTTATTAGGTAAAATAAACAATTTCTTCTGTGAGGCTTTTTAAAGTTAATATTATGATAGAAATAATATGATTTTATTCCAAAGAAATTGCAAAAATAAAAAGTTAACATTTTTTAGGTAAGGAATCGTCCCCTTTTGTTTGGTTTGATATTGAGATACCATGTAAATAATAAATAAATAAAAAAATCCGGTTAAGTTTTAATTCTTAATATTAATTTTAATGCAGCATGCAGTAGAGCTGAACCAGCTCAAGGCTATGTTTGTGACCATTGCATTTATAAATAAACAAGTTTCATTTACTAACTGTTTAATTTGATTAATATTTTGATTATTAATTAAAATAGTTCATATGATCCTTATTAGTTGTTCTACTTGTTTATACAGATAAACTGGGCACCACTCAATGTGTCGCGACCAAAAAGTTCGTACTTTTTCAAAGCGACATAACTTTTTTGTTTCTTAAACTATTTTATTTTGGTCTGTAATGTCTAATAGCCCCATCCTCTAGCAATTTATGCTATAGATATGAAGATCACGGTTCTTCAAGTAAATTTTCTACAGGGTGATATGTAAAAAGGTGAAAAATTTCAATAACTTCATCCAAGCCCCGTTTGAACAAAGAATAGTATATTCTGTAACAAGTTTGGAATACAGCATATTCCGCTCAAGTGAAGAGTTTGTCACACGAGCCGAAGGCGAGTTTGATGGTTTCACAAACACAAACGTGTTTCAGACTATACTTTTTCTACGTTTCCAAAAAATACCATAGAAAAATAATTTAATATGAAGAAAGTGGGGTTGGATTAGTCTAAAATTTGTTAGATATTAAAAACAGAGATGCCGCCACGAGTGTTCATTCTGTCATCAGATGATACAATATTTCATTCTGTAACACTTTACGGAATATATGTCATTCCATAGATAAAAGTGATATTAGAAGGGTCAAATTCCGTAATAGGAGTAAAAAAATATTTTTTCTCGTTTTTACTTTGAAATAATGAAGTATTATGTCTTACCCTGAAAAGCTTTTCAAAATTTTCGAATTGGAATCTTAGCAACGAAAATATGATTTTTTTTTCAAAAGAGTACATTTAAGGGTTTTTGGTAGTCAATAAACTCAGTCTTTTTAAGAACAAGAAGATAAAATGGTAAAAGATTGTTCCTTGAATAATTCTGAACAAGCGACAAGCAACAAACTTCCATTATTTTCAGAGGGGCCTAAGCAAAGATCACTTTTTAAAAATGACATTTTGGTGAAAATTTGAACCGATATTTACGTTCGTGACATGTTTTCTTTATAATTTTCACCTCCTGATTGTGATTCAGTTGTCAAATTTAAGTTTCAGATAAAACCAAAATCACCAAGAATCAAAATTCGAAAACAATACCCGGCTGTTAAATGTCTTAATAAAATCCGATTGCTGGGGTGTTTCTTGCATATTTATGATTAAAATGCCATTTGGGGATTCATTTTTTGGGCGAAATTACTGCAATTAGTTTGAGTGGTTAGGACAATGTTACATAAGTTACATTTACATTGCGCACTAGTGATAACTTATCACTGATAAGTACCTAATTGGTAATAAAGTTAAATAAAAAAATGTTTGATCACTTTGGAAAATTTTATGCGAAAAAATGTAACAAACAATAACAAAAATAACTTTCAATATTTCGTTGGCCCTCCCCTAACCCTTAATAATTCGTTAACCCTCCTGGGCCTCGACCAAGTTCTTTATAAATTGCATTATTTCTAAATAGCATTTACCAAATCATCAACATTGTCCATGCTTCCTTCCCTCTCATTCATCTTCAGTTTCATCCTGCTCCACACATGCTCAATAGGATTCATATCCGGAGACAAAGGTGGCCAATTTATTCTCTCAATATGGTGGTCCCTTAAGTACTCGTTTACGATATTGGCGCGGTGCCGACGGGCATTGTCGTCCACCAATACCAATTATTGACAGCAATCCTATTTTATTAAGACATTTAACAGCCGGGAATTGTTTTCGAATCTTGATTCTTGATGATTTTGGTTTTATATGAAACTTAAATTTGATAACTGAATCACAATCAGGAGGTCAAAATATGCCATGAACGTAAATATCGGCTTAGGTTTAGTTTTCTGAAATTTTCACCAAAATGTTATTTTGAAAAAGTGGTCTTTGTTTAGGCCCTCTGAAAATAATGGAAGTTTGTTGCTTGTCGCTCGTTCAGAATTATTTAAGGAACATTATTGCACCATCTTATCTTCTTGTTCCTAAAAAGACTGAGTGTATTGCCTACAAAAAAGCCTTCAATGTACTCTTTTGAAAAAAAAATCATATTTTCTTTGCCAAGATTCCAATTCGAAAAATTTAAAATATACCACAAGGTAAGACATAATACTTTTAAAGTAAAAACGATAAAAAAAAATTTCTGTTACAAACGAGGCTTGATGAAGTTATTAAAATGTTTCACCGTTTAACATATCACCCTGTAGGAAATTTACTTATAGAACCGTGAGCTTCATATCTATAGCATAAATTTCCAAAGGATGAGGCTAGCAGACAACACAGACCAAAATAAAATAATTCAAGAAACAAAAAAGTTATGTCGTTTTGAAAAAGAACGAACTTATTGATCGCGACACATGTGGTGAGAAATTGATTATTATTTCGAACAACCCTTAGGCTGTTTTCATACGATGCCATAACGATGCAATACATTGTGTGCAATAAATTGCATCGTATAAAATCATAATTTTTACACACAACGATATTGTAGAACCATAATATTTATCGATTTAAAATTAATGTGTGTTGCCAGTGTTGTGTAAACTGTCATGAAGAGAAGGCGTCAAGCTTTATTACTGGCGTTAATTGTACGTCGAAGAAGAAAAATTAATAAAAGTAAGTGACGTTTCTGGGTCCATGCAGTCACATTATGAATTAAATAAATACATAAATATTGATAAATAAAATAAATAATATTAAATCAATAAATAATTACTTCCAGTTGCATTTACCTGCTGCCACTTTTTTGTTTACCTCCAAATTTATAGATTTCTGACCAAGCCTTTCCTTTTTTTTTATACGGTCCTTGTATTAATCAAGCGTTTTGTCCCAAATTTAGGGTTTTTGCTCCACTAATTCAATAAGATCAATAAGTACATTTTATTTTTTGGGCTGATTACTTTAAAACTGAATTTCATGCATTTTTATAAAAGTAGGCATAGACTTTTATTGGTCAAAATAAAAAAAATACGTACGATTTTAGTAGAATATATTGCATGTACGAGGTGTGTTCAGAAAATAACGGGAATTGTTAAATTTCGCGGGTTCGGAGTCCGGTTGTCATAAAAAAAATTTTATTATGTTGATATACAATGTATATTATACATGCCCCCGAAGTATGATAAAAACTAGCTGTTTTCATCGTTTACTTTGTCTGTGGCAGCCGCTAAGGTTAGAAGTGTTTTATGAGCTCGGCAATTTTCGTTCTTTAAAAGAAATGGATCAAAGAAATTTGTATCCAATTTTCCTTAAAAAATGAAATAAATTCTGTGAAATGTTGACAAAGGCCTATAGTGAGTCTGCAATAAGTAAAACAAGAGTTTACAAGTGGTATAAGAGTTTCCAAGATGGCCGTGAAGACGTTGAAGATGACGAAGGCCCCGAACGCCCAAGTACATTACCAACCGATAAAAACATGGAAAAAGTGGAAGAAATGGTTATAAACCATCAGAGAAGTCTCTGATGATGTTGGTATATCGATTGGCTCATCTCATGAAATTTTTTTGAATGTTTTGGGTATGAAACGCGTGGCAGCAAAATTTGTTCCAAAATTGTTAAATTTTGAACAAAATTTTTGTCCAAAAACAATACTGTAATGATGCCCCAGCCTCCATATTCGCCAGACATGCCTCTGTCTGACTTTTTCCTATTCCCAAAAATAAAGAGAACCTTAAAGTACCGTCGTTTTGCAAGCATAGATGACATTAAAAGCGCATTGCTGAAAGAACTAAAGACTATCCAAAAGATCGAGTTTTGGAAGAAGAGCTGGCACATGAGCATAATATCCAATGGGGACTATTTTGAAGGCGACAACATTAATGTAGACGAATAAATAAATATTTTTTTCAAAAAACGAAAATTCCCGATATTTTCTGAACACACCTCGTACATGCAATATAGGGCTAGCTTTTATGTATCGTAAACGACTGATATGAAACCACATATTTTTGATGTCCGCAATATTGCAACAATATATATAACACAGGCTGTTTTGTCCGGTTATTTTTTTATTCTAAAGTTTGTTAGCTCTTAAAGTTATTTTTTATATATAATATATATTATATTATACTAATTTAAAAAAAAAATAATTTGTATAGATAATATCATATTTAAACATATTATGTTTAAATTAAACATTTTAT